TCGTGCCCCCTCCTCCGTCTATCCCCACATACCAAACGCGTCCTAGATCGTGGGTGCACAGTACAAGCACGTTGTCTTCCAACCCAACCCATCATCATACCGTACACGCCTCTAGTCTCCTAGGTATTGATGCATTATGCTACACTCAAGGTTTGTCGTGCTGAAATCAGAAGCAGCGTTCACGAGGGGTCGTTGAAATACGAAATCGAGATAGCGGCGAGTGGGTTGCGCTTCTTCTGAGCGCGTATGCATTGGTAGGTAGGGTACGGTATGGGGCGTGGGGTAGATAGGTTAACAACGGTTTACACGGGGCGATGCGGAGAACCTTGCATGGGTTGTATGTATATGCTAGTGCTATGTAGGGACAGACAGTAGTGCCGGTGATTTCAAAGGCTTATGCCCGGAATAGAGATGAGAAGATGGACAGTCCGATGATCAGATACAGTGCAGGGTACGGATTCGTCATTCAGTACAGCACACCGACTCGGAGCGCACATCGTTCCGAACAGGCAAGTTGTATTTCGAACCAGAAAGGCAAGTTGAATGGGGTCGGGGGAAGACGGGCGAGTGCTGTACCGGGCTGACACGAGGCGCTGGAACGCATGACTCGTGTACGCGCACAATCCGCATGCTCGCGAGCGACCGACGATCTGCGTACAGCACGCTAGAATTGCAGGTAGGAATCGGGCGGAAGGCTTCCCTGAAATCGCGCCGATAAAGTCAGAACTTCTGAAGCCCACGGAGATAAATCACAAGCTTTGAGCCAAAACGCACCTTGACCTCCTCGAACTTCTTCACTGCCGCCTCGAGGTTCCATCCAGAGTTATCCAAACAGTCAAACGCAAATTCGCCCTTCAGCCTCGTGCGCGCGATGAGCTGCGCCATGGGCGCACGCTGCTGTTCCGGCTGTGGCACCAGGGACATCAACATCACGCCTCGTGCATCTTAAACTTGAAAAGTACGTACGAGAGTATCGATCGCGGCCTTCACGGCGGGCGGCAATTGAGCCATGGCCTGCTGAGCGCCCGCCTCGTCGACGGCTTGTACAAGCAAGGGACCTGGCTTCCACGCTTCGTGCGACGAGTAGTTGCGCACGACGAGCTGGTCGCTGAGGATCTCGAGGTCCCATCCTGCGAGCTTCGCGCTAGAAGAAGGGCACAACGTCAGTAGTCTGCGAAGGTAGCGCGAGACCGCGGGAGACGACGTACCGGGATCCTTCGGCCGGCGCACCGAGTACGAAAGAGCGGTCGAACGAGCGCAGACCGTGGTTAGATTCTGTTGGCGAATAAAATGCGAACGTAAGTGCCTCGCGCTAGCAGGTGATGGAGCAGATTGGATGAATGGGATGAAAGAAACGCGATACGCACGCTCTTCGAACTGGCCATGTACGCTCAAAAACAGCGTCGCCTCAACGGGCCACGCATCAATGCAGAACTTCTCCGCCGAGCCAGTGATATCGTGCTTCGTGGCGGGTAGCTTCATGATCGTGCCCAACGCCGCGTCACGTCCTATGTGCATACTGCTGAGCAGCTTGCCAGGTTGATTGCTCACTCGCATGAGGTTGCGCGAGCCCGCGGCCAGCCAGGGCGACCATTCGAGTTTGGTTTGGTTTGGCAGCTTGTGCTGGAAGCCCTGAATACGAGCGCGCGCCGGGATCGACGTTTGTGCCTGGAAGGAGAACGTCGCGGAATCGTGATAAACATCGCCGAGCGCCGCCCGGTCATCGTCGAATAATTTGAAGTATCTGCGGAACAGGCTTTAGCACTCGTTATATTTTTTCAGACGTCCCGGATGGACTAACCTCGTGAGGAAAGTAGGGATGATGACCTCGTTGCCGTTGAGGCCGGTAATGAATGACGGGCACATGTCCGCAGGGAATACGGACGAGGCTGGTAGTGGGCCGACGTGGACGGGTGGTGTGCCCGTCGCTCCCTCAGAAGCGAACGCGATTCTGGTCATGGGCTCCTGATCCAGCATCTCTAGCGTTGGGAAACGGCGAGCGATGCCGCTAGAGGATGATTAGCCTGGTGAATGGTTCAAAGGATGGGTGTTCTTACCTGCGGTAAGCGTCGATCTTGCCCACCCTGATGTCGTCCTCGCGTATTGGGTTACCGGTGAGGATAAGCTCTTTCAACTTTGAAAGCTTGTCCTTCCGGTCAGTGAGGGCAGAGATGGTGTCGAGGTCTTTCCAATAGCGCAAGTTGTTGCCTTCGAGGGACAGGTTGACGATGTCAGGCAAGTAGTGGGCGATAGTCGCCACCTTCGCCAGACTCTGCAGGTTATTGTGCGCCAACGATATCGTCGTGACCTTCATCGTTCATCAGCAATCACGTACGTGTCGCTCATTCTGGAAGCGAAAAAGAGTCGGATAGAGATGCGCCGCAGACCAATGTCACCTCTACTCTCATTACTGCGTTCTCCTTTCGGGAGACGATTGCAGCACACGATGTCGGCAACAATCCAGACATACGAGATATCCACAAGGGAAGCGTGAGATATGTATAGACATCGACAAGTGCCCAATGTGTAGAAAATAGAGTCCCCCAAGCACCACCCACACGTCCAACATCTTCCTCCCGCCGCACCCACGAATAAGATGAACAGCCACTCACCGGTGGTTTCAACTGCGCCGCCATCTTGAAGATAACTGAACCTTCTTTCTCTGTCGAACGGGGATGGCCTGGCGGGCATAGTTTGGCATCCTTCAGCGTCTGGTCGTCTTGCATGCGCTGTGAAGCGAAAAGATGAGTGTGCGTCACAGATGCCACATTGGGAAATAGACATACTTCGAGGTTCAAGAAGCCCGTATTGGCATCATATCGCCGGTTCACAAAGTCCCTCCAGACTTCCAGAGGCTTGACCTGCTTAAGCGCCGGCTTTGCCTTGCTCAGCAGCGTCCTTTGCAACCGGGTGGCCACCGCCGCTCGCGCTGCGTCGCGGGCACTTCCTCCAGCGGATGCACCGCGGATGTTCAACGACCCAGCACCAGCAGTCACACGCTATCGTACGTATGAGCATGATAATCATTACACAGTAGACGATTAAGGACAATAGCGGACGGCATGCGACATGACGAGGTCGATAAAGTAGAGATATATTCACCGTACGCGACGACTCTCCTCCCTTGATCTCATTGATAAGTTTCGGCCTGTGGGACCTCAGCCGACCCGCATCCTTCTTCGGTGCCCCCGACAGATCCTTCATCTTCGCGTCTCCGTCTCGTAAAGCGCCGGCCTTATGCAGCGCTTTAGCGGCGAATTTATTCGGCGCCGGTGTTCGTGGATTTGGTGGTGATGCTGATGTACTGGAGTACATGAGGACTGTGAGGGCAAGAAAAGAAGGACAAGGGAAGGGTGGTGGTGGTGGTGGTGGTGGTGGTTTGGAGGCAAGTGGCGGCGGTCGACTCGATGTGTGCGCGCCGGGCTGAGACTCTGCCGGTCCACGGACCGCGGTACCGATGTGACCAATCGTGACTCCGGCCGCGATACATTTGCCTTTTTCGCATGCAAGGGCTTGAGATTCTGCCGTGTATGTGGGTTTCTCGCAGACATTCCTCTCAGCTCTCAACTGGGTGGAGTTTCTCAGCACCCAGTCTGACAAAGGTTCGTGGAAGGTTAATCGAAGGGCGTCGATGTCTGTATGGATTCACCCAAAAGCGGGGACGGCGCGAAGGTAGGATAGTGTCAGAGTATCAGCCTCGCAACCAGGCTCAGCAAATTCGTACAGCAAAAATACATGGGATATAAAGCATTGTTCAAGATGGTCCATGAAATAGAATAAGATAGATCGAGCCTTCTCTTCACCTCCCATCCGCCTGACCACCCTGATTCTGCGATGGAAACACCGCGTACCGCGTATTGACAGGACCACGTCCTCCCGGGAAACTGTATGCGCCGGCAACAGCGGGTCCAGTATTCACCGGTGGCAGTCGTGCATCCTGCCGTGGGGATACCTGGATGTTCACAGGTGAGGCGCCAGATGCGATGACGGGCATTGGCCATGGCGGATTTGGTGCGCTGACGCTGTTACTTGCGGGTCGTGACAGACCTGGCCCTGACGGGGGTCGCATCGCACTCCCACTCGCCGGACGTGTAGCGGGTGATGATGTACTGCTCTGCGTTGCCATCTGCGGAGGTTGCGCAGACATGGGCGGGCCTATGGACGTTGAGCCAGGAGCGGGGTGTGCTTGAAGTGACGGTGCTTGAAGCGGCGGTAGCGAAAGCGAGGGTTGGTGGTGATGGTGTTGCGGCTGCTGCTGCTGCTGCTGCTGTGGGTGTTGCTGCGATTGTTGTTGTGCGGCTGGAGGAGCGGGCGCTGCCCGTAGTTCGGGCTCGCCGGTCGTGTCTTCTCGTTTCCGTTTCTGGTTCGGACGCGTCGTGCTCTCCTTCAACCCGAGAGACGTCGCTTTGAGTAGGATCTGGTGACTATGATGTGTGTCAGTACGTCATTCGAAGTCGCTGGATAACACGTCGCCTACCGAGATCGTGCAGGACCCCAAGATTGCACGACCCAATCCCAATTAACATCGCCAGTGGTATTCGTAGTTTTGCTTTGCTCGGCCAAGCGCTTCAATTTCTCAATCTCATCCTCAGCCCAAGTCCCTGATGCACTAGCAGGAGCCGGAGGCGGCGCAGATGTAGAAGCAGGTACAGATACAACAGGGATAGTAGTATGTGGCGTCAACGGCTGCATGGGCACAGGTGCAGAACCAGGCGTCGGCTGCCTGCTTGATGATGGAGGTGCCGAGACGGGGGCGTCATGTTTGGGTGGTGCTGCCGGAGGTGGCGGCATGGCATACGTCGCAGGATAAGGATATGGATAGTATCCCCCGCTAGGATACCCGGGGTATGCGGCACCTGGAGGGTAGTATGCGGCCTGCATCGGGATGCCGTATGCGGGCGGTTTGCTGCCCGATGCGGCTGGTGGCGGAGCAGACGGCGCGGGAGCTGAAGGTGCCGAATAAGGGTTATACACGGGTGGTGGTGCCTTGCCAACCAGTTGTTGAGGATTCGCAAGCTTAAAGTCCGTTAAGACGCGTCACTCGAGTCAGATATATTGATAGCACTGACTAGATCATCGCAGATGCGCCGCGCTTCGTTCAACATTTCCATCGGGTTGACCTTGGATGCGGGACCGTGTTGATATGTCTGCTGTATGATGGCCGGCGGTGTCCCCTTCTGAATCGCGACGTGAGTACGCCAAGCAGTCTGGCGAACAATGTTTACATACGATCAGCTCTTCGGCAGCACCGTAAAACTCGGAGCAGAGGTTCAGAACTCTCCACTGAAACTCGTAGTACTGCTGGTTCTGAGCCGGCATGCCGGGAATTGATGGCGCGGCGGTGGACGGCGTAGCGAACGGAGGCTGCTTTGTCGCCGTGGGGCTCTCGCGCGGCTTGCGGTTCTTTGAACCCTTGGGACGGCCTGGCCTGCGCTTCTCAGACTGGCCGTCTCCCTGCGTGGCAGAGGAAGACGCCGGATGATGTATGAAACTGTCTCCGCCCGACGTCGACGCTCTTAAACGCACGATGAGCCAGACTGTGCGGATCCCCGGAACACAATATAACCTACTGTGGATGGCCTGCGCCGCCGTGAGATGCAGAATGTGATTTCGGATATTCGAGCTCTTCTTCTACCGCATCGTCCTCGTCCTCCTCTTCCTCCTCGTCATTGGCCCGTTTCGGGGCAGATCCGGTGCCGGCGTTGGTCTGATAGGCCGAGGGAGGGTACCCGGCATTGGCATAGGTGACGTCCGTCGGCCGGATGGACGGCGGGTGGAGGGCATGGGAGAGCGAGTGATAGTTCTGCGAACCGTGGTCCATCCGAGTCCGAAGAATAATAATCCGGGCAAACGGGCCAGATCCAACACTTCGGGGCGGGGCGTGACGGAGAAAGAAAACAAAGCCTGAGGAGCGGGAAACAACCAGGAAAACGTTTTCGCGCTGCCCGTTTGAGCCCGACAGTGCCTTTTCCAGGTCGCTTTGGTGGTCAAATCAGCCCGTGCGCCCGTTCGTGCTTCTCCCGTCCCCGTCCGTCGGATGATCCTTGTGCGGACCAGCGTTCTGTGTTTGCATCTCGGGAGCAGTGCTTTCTGCTACATTGGGACCCACATAAGAGAGAGATGAAAGTGATCTTATCGCAGTCCAGGCCGTGGACGTGACGCCCTGCCTAACGCTCGCGGCAAACTCGATCAGTTACGCGCGCGCGAGACGATAATACCGCCCAATCATGAGGCTCTCGCTCAACGTGTGCAAGCCGGTTCGCCACCGAAATTGATGGAGATGTAGCCCTGGAGGTTAGCCACAGTGTTGCGTGCTCAAATAAGCATTATCTGCTTTCCAAAATGGGGAAATTATGCAGATATCTCTCCCTCGATTCCCCCTCGATCCCCTTGATATAAATCAATCCAAAAATTGCTACAGATTGCCAAAATGAGGGGCTCAACCGGGAATTGAACCCGGGACCTCCTGCAGTAGAGTCACGTGATGTGACGGGCAGTACCCGAAGCAGGAATCATACTACTAGACCATTGAGCCGATGAGGATTGTTTCCCTACGTGTACCCATAATTAGCTTTTGTGTACCCTCTCAAATAAACTCTGGATGTATTTATGATTAGATAGCCTCTGCATCGTTGCATGACTCTAACTGTACCGCCTGAGGGGTCTTGTGGCCCTTTGCATTGTTGTGGAGCTATGTGTGACTTCAAGTCGAGCGCCAACTTCTTCAAGTCGAGCGCCAACTTGCAAGACGACGACGACGACGCGGCGCGGCGCGGCGCAGCCACTTCTCTTGTCCCAGACCACCATGCGTGTGTAATGGAACTTCCACTGCGACTCATCCTTCTATACTTCATCGCCGTTCCATCGAATAGCACGGTGCAACATGTCATTGTCATGGCCCTTTCCCAAGCAACGTCCCCCTTGTTCGATGCCAAGTACGAGTCTACGACTGCTCAGTCCGGGCAGTTGCCCAGCGTGGTTCATGTGCATGGATATAGTTCAGTGACAGGCTTGTCGAGTGCAACTTGATGCGTATTTGTGCTGCCCAAAACTCTCAAGAGACAGTGCTTGAAGAACCGGCGCTGTCATACAATATCGCCAACTTTCCGCCTATTCGTTACTTCGTGCCCGATACACGATGACCCATGAATGCGCACTCTATTGCAGTCTGAATACAGTCTATTACAGGGGAACCACATTCTCAGTTCTTCTTGGGTGTGATGACTTGCGGAAGAGGCCACTGGTCGTAGTGACCGCTTGTGAGCATGAGTGGGATCGGCGCATCGCCCTCATGACCCTGCGATTCCTGGTCAACGAACGTCCAAGCATCACAATTTCAGATACGACTTACGATCATGGAATGCGGGAACCCGAGGTCGAACGGAACGACACTCTCAATCTCCTTGATGTGCTCCGGCGTGAGAGCAACCTCGAGCGCCTCGAGATTCTCGAGCAGATGCTCGACCTTGCGCCCGCCGATGATCGGGAAGACGTAGGGCGTCTTTTGAAGGACGTAGGCGACCGCAACTGATCACAATGTGTCAGTCTCCCAGGCTCGCGAGTGGTGTAACAAAAGGGACGTACCAGCCCGAATGCTTTTCACGCCGACCTGACCCGCGATCTTTTCAAGCACGACGGCCATCTTCTTCTCATCCTCATTGCGTTCCCAACCGCCGCCAAAGAAATTGCGGCCGTTTTCGCCGGTCTTGCGGCGAGCCTCTTCCTCGGCATCCGTGCGAATCTTACCGCCACCAATGACCTCCCACGGCGCAAGTGCCAGACCGAGCTTCCGCGCCATTGGGATGATCTCGCGCTCAAAGTCGCGCGACAAGACGTTCCACTTGCCCTGGTAGATCACAAATGGTGTCTTGCCGTGGTCGATCGCGTACCGGTTGGCGTCTGCGACGACCCAGGCCGGTGTGTCTGAGATACCTAGGTAGAGGACCTTGCCGGACGCGACGAGGTTGTGAAGCGAGTTCATGACTTCTTCCACACTACATGTAATCAGTCAGCGAACAATTGGTCAGCCACTGACTCTCACCTGCTGCTCCAATCCCAGAAGTGAATGTACAAGATGTCGATGTACGACGTGCGAAGATTCTCCAGAGATCGCTCGACGGCCACATGCATGTTCTTCGTGTGGTTGCCGGCGAAGTTGATCTTGATACCGACAGAGTCGTTGGTACGCTTGTTCTGTGTGCTATACTAAAGAAGCATCAGCAAGAGAAGTTCCGTAAGAACCCAAGCCTCCGCCTACCTTCGTAGCCACGACTATCTCGTCGCGGTTGCCCCGAGCCTCCATCCACTCCCCAATGAACTGTTCGGAAGTTTCATCCTGGCTAAGATGTCCGTCAGCATCGCTCTGATGACGCAAAAAGCGAATGAGCACATACTATGTGTTTGCGGTGTCGATGAAGTTACCCCCTGCCGCGTAGTACGCGTCAAGCAACTTGAAGCTGCCTTCTTTATCCATCGCGCCCATCCATTTGGACCATCTATCCCCGATGGACCCAGCCCCTAGGGCTATAGGGGAAACGCGAACGCCTGCACGAGGGCCCAGCACACGATACCTGCCCAGCGCTGTAGGCGGAGGGTCCATCGGGGCGAAAGGATGCACTTCGTTGGTGGAAGACATGGTAATGCTAGATGTCAAACACGATGAGGAGGTGAACGGTGTGCTTCGAACTTGGATCCATTCAGAGCATATATACGGATTGTACGCCTGCTGGGACTGACATTGCGAACCGGTCGACGAAACGAAGCGCGGCGATGTCGCCGCGCGATGTGCATTCGTTTTGCATGGCCGGCTTGCTCGACGACCACGCGCGATGCAAATACGTCTTTGACAGAAACCCGAACATGACGCGGTAACATCACCGCAAGGACGGCTGCTATCCGTTCGGAATTAGTGACAGAGCGAATTTCCAGGATTAAGTCCGTTTGCCGACGCAAATTAGACACTGACACTGAATGACCAAGACTGACCTCGGGAATCGTTTCAATGGCCGAGAACCACAGCGCCAGCACTGACAGCGTATCTCACAAGCGTAAGCCTAGTGTCTCATTAAGCTAGGTGAAGGAAGCAATCATAGCGCCATACTCCTCAAGTGTCCGCGGCTGTGAACAACGTATAGAAAGCCCGAGCGCAGATTCGCGCTATACCCGTTCACAAACTTACTGGAACACCGAAACGTCTTCTGGTCATGATGTCATGCATTCACTTCCTACGACTACATGTCTCGAATGCACCAGTCTTAACATCCGCAGGGTCAGAAACCTCATTCGTTCTTGGGAACAATGGCCTGTCGGAGAGGCCAGCGATCGAAATGACCACCGATGGTCAGAAGCGGGCTAAGCGATTCATCATCTTCCCGACCCTGCGCGCGAATGTTAAGGGTTTGTTACATAAGGACATCTAATCATGCAGCACGTACAAAGAGGTTGTGAGGGAAACCGGCGTCGAAGGGCACGACGCCCTCTATCTGCTTGATGTGTTCCTTCGTGAGGGCAATCTCGAGCGCTTCGATGTTCGCGTGCAAATGCTCAACCTTGCGGCCCCCGACGATCGGGAAGACATACGGCGTCTTCTGCAAGACATAGGCAATGGCCACTGCGGATCAATGAGCTTTATAGGGAGCAACGGTATTGAGCCGATCATGGACCTACCGGCTTGGATGCTCTTGGTACCAACTTCAGCAGCTATCTTCTCGAGTTGAGACGCCATCTTCCTCTCGTTCTCATTGCGCTCCCAACCCCGACCCCATAGGTCACGACCGTGCTCACCCGTCGTGCGACGCGCCTCCTCCTCTGCATCCGTGCGAATCTTACCACTCGCTAGGACGTCCCAAGGCGCAAGCGCGAGGCCAAGGTGGCGTGCCATTGGGATGATCTCACGCTCAAAGTCGCGGGAGAGAACGTTCCAACGGCCTTGATAGATGACGAACGGCGTCTTGCCGTGATCAATCGCGTATCTGTTAGCGTCCGCGACGATCCATGCCGGTGTATCGGAAATCCCCAAGTACAAGACTTTGCCAGAGACGACCAGATTGTGAAGGGCGTTCATGATCTCTACCGTGCTGCGATGTATGTCAGCTAACGGTATATCCTGATGTCAAATCATCTCACCCGCTACTCCAGTCCCACCAGTGCAGATAGAGAATGTCGATATACGACGTGCGCAACTTCTTGAGAGACTGCTCGACCGAGACGTGCAGACTCTTGGTGTGGTTTCCCCCGTAGTTGATCTTGATTCCGACCGAGTCATCAATACGCTTGTAAGGTGTCGTATACTGAAGTACTCGAGATCAGCTCGGCTGTGTAATGAGGGATTGTAGACGCACTTTGGTAGCGATGACCATCTCATCGCGAATGCCGCGAGCCTGCAGCCACTCGCCTATGAACTTCTCAGACGATTCTTCTTGACTAGCACGAGGTCAGTATAGGCGTCGCTTAGATTCACGATCAAACGTACTAGTTGTTCGACGTGTCGATGAAGTTGCCCCCCGCTTTATAGTAAGCGTCGAGCAACTTGAAACTACTCTCCTTGTCCATCGCCCCCATACCGAACTTTGCCCATTGATCACCAACAGACATCGCTCCCAGAGTGAGAGGGGATACACGGACACCGGCGTGTGGGCTCAGAGTGCGGTACTTGCCGAGCGCAGTAGGAGGCGGAGGCATGGGGGAGAAGGGGTGAGTTTCGTTGCCGACGGAAGACATGTTGCTCCAGTATTCGAGTGAAGGCAGAAGAGACGGATTGTGTTCTCAGAGTGCTGACTGCTTCTCGTACTTATACGTGCAGGTAGCCGTACGGACGCGTATGCTATCCACCTAGCCGCGGGTCTTCTGACAAACATCGTGACGATGTCGGAGGCCGACGCCTTCGAGTATTGGCTAGTCACGACGGAGGGCGCCAACGTCGCTTCCATAAGAAACGCGTTTGAGACCTGAGCTTCTCACTGGCCGAATTGGACCGAGAAAGCGATGCGAATTGGGCCCGAGATCATGGTGGCGGGAAAAGGCAGCGAACATGGCAGTCAACCTGTAACATTCAACGTGACGTCACGCGTCATATGTCCGAACGGCAAGCCTCGACGTGCTCGGACGCTTCTCCGGCATTCAGACGAGTACTTCCTCTTGGTGCAGCCAGCACACTGCGCTTGACTCAGGTGTGAAAGGTTACATCATGACATTGAAACAAGCTTCTCTCCAAGGTCATAGAAATGTACTTGTATCTCCATCAGGGCCGACCCACACTAGCGCACGGCAACATCCCCGCTCCTTACATACTCTACAGCAACAGTATAAGAAAGGGGAAAACTTCGCCAGATTGTGACTGTAGCGATCATGCCTTCGCCGGGCGAATAGCTTCGGGTCGGGGCCACCGGTCCGTGTGACCTCCAGTGGCGAACAAGAAGAAGTCCTTCTCGTCGTCGTCACGCCCCTGTTCGAACGATTCAGCTGCATACTATGGATAATCGGTGAAGGAAGAGACGTACAATGAAGTTCGTTGGAAACCCGACGTCGAACGGCGTGATGTCCTCGATCTGCTTGACATGCTCGGCGGTGAGAGCAATCTCAAGAGCCTCAATGTTGGCGTGCAGGTGCTCGACCTTGCGCCCGCCAACAATCGGGAAGACGTACGGAGTCTTCTGCATGAGGTAGGCAATGGCCACTACATGAACGGGAGTGAGATCAGCATCGAAAGATAGCGTATACTACCACTTTGATGACTCACCGGCCTGAATGCTCTTTGCGCCAATTTCGGCAGCAACTTTCTCGAGCGCGCTAGCCATCTTCTTCTCCTGCTCGTTGCGCTCCCAAGGTCCGCGCACTGCGCGACCGTTCTCGCCAGTCTGGCGACGTGCTTCTTCCTCCGCATCTGTGCGAATCTTGCCGCCGGCGAGGACATCCCACGGCGCAAGCGCGAGCCCGAGGTGGCGTGCCATGGGAAGAATGTCGCGTTCGAAGTCGCGCGTGAAGACATTCCAGCGACCTTGGTAGATTGAGAAGGGAGTTTTGCCATGGTCTTGCGCATACTGGTTAGCCAACGCAACGATCCACGCCGGCGTGTCGGATATGCCAAGGTAGAGTACCTTGCCGGAGACGACAAGGTTATGGAGAGAGTTCATGACCTCCTCGACGCTGTGGGCGAATCAGCGTGAAGATAGATAGGAAAGCAACCTGACGCATACCTGACTCCCCAGTCCCAGAAGTGAACGTACAAGATGTCGATGTAAGAGGTGCGCAGCTTATTGAGCGACTCCTCGACGGAGATGTGCAAGCTTTTGACGTTGCTTCCGCCGTAATTGACCTTGATGCCGACCGAATCATCCGATCGCTTATACGGGTTAGTGTACTGAAAGCCAGTGTTGTCAGTAGAGCTGAAGAGATGTCTGACCATGAGTATCACCTTGGTTGCGATCACCATCTCATTCCGTATGCCGCGCGACTCCATCCACTCGCCGATGAATATCTCCGACGTCTCGTTCTGGCTGAGGATTCATTTAGTTGATAAGAAGCGCTCAAAAACCGACAAGAGGTGCTTACTATGCATTGGCCGTGTCGATGAAGTTGCCGCCTGCCGCATAGAACGCATCAAGAAGCTTGAAGCTGCTGTCCTTGTTCATGGAGCCCATGCCAATACTCCCCCACTTGTCGCCGATCGACATGGCGCCGAGGCAGAGTGGCGACACACGCACGCCCGCTCGGGCACTGAGAATGCGGTACCGACCGAGAGCGGTGGCCGGCGGCGGCATAGGAGTGAAAGGATGAACCCCGTTGTCTGAAGGCATGAGGATGATTGTGTTTTATGTGGATGAAGGCAGGAATTGACGATTGTTGAGTAAACGTCGAAGTCCTGGCCTCTTTATATACTCCCATTTACCGCGACTCGATCCACTTCAGCTCATTATGCACGGACGGGACACAGCAAGACACAGTACGCTCGCCGCAGGAAGCTCGATGAGCAGAGCCCACTTATCGTCATCATCATTACTCTCTGCCAAAACCCGGCGGCAAGGCCGCGAGTGCACGGGGATGGCTTGAGATAGCCCTATATTGTTCAAGAACGCCTGTAGCAAGCTTGCTGAGCCCCAGTGGCATTCAGATGGCTTTTCACCGCTTCATCGTGCAGGAAACAGTGTGTATGCTCGGTCCAGCGTGTTGGTAACACTGGCAAGCACGAGAAGAGACCATTCCCGACCAAAACCGGGAATCCACGCAGGGGCACCCAACTTCACAAGAGCCATAGCGAGGCAGCGTAAGAATAAGAGTGTAGACGGAGTGATTAGCGGCCACATGGATGACGAGGTACTCTGAAGCGCAGAGCTGCCAAAATTGTGGCAGTGAGCGCAAGGGACAAGTTTAGTCACGCTTTGTCGGCGCTTAGCCCGACGCCGGTCCGAAGGCCGGTAGACGCGTCGCGTTACGTCGCCGCGCGACTAACTAGTTGCTTTAGGACTTCCACCTCTACATCTATGTCCGGGTATAGACCTTCGCCCGGCTACGAACACTGAGTACATCATGGCGCCGTTTGAAACACCACGTGCTGTTGTGGCTGGATTGAAAGAACGCGCCGAAGCCGTATTAGTCCAAGCAGACCGTCTATATGTCGGAACTTCAGCCGGCAGTCTATTGATATACGCGCTCGAGGAAGGAGATGGTATATCTTGAAAGTTGCATTCATAAACTGCCCCACTCACGCTGAGGCTAGATGGGCCATCAGCAAGTTTGGTGGATACGAAGAAGGGTGTCGCGCGAAGGGCAATCGAGCAGTTGGGTTATGTGAAGGACATAAACTCCCTCGTGGTTCTTGCGGGTGCGTATTACTATTTGTTTCTGCACGCCACATATTTGAACGAGTTTAGATTCTCAGGTTACGCTGTATCCCATACCTGATTTTGCTCCACCTACGCCCTTGACCAAGGCAAAGACGGTCTTCTCCTTCGCCGTGCACACATTCGTAGAGCACGAGGAAGCCGCAAGACCCAAATCTCCCTATTCGGACCAGTCCGCTCGGCGCATGGCGGTACCCACGGTTGTGACCTATCTTGTCGTTGGCTGTCAGAGGAAGATGGTCATGTACTCGTGGAAGGATGGCGACGCTCAGGATGTTAAGGTGAGGCAATCTCTAATGGGATAGTATAGTTTATTCGGGGCTAACTGATTGCTTGATAGGAAGCACCTCTACCGCACTCCGCCCGAACTATCGCGTTTATTGACAATCACACCGTCTCTCTTTCATACGATCTCACGACCCATGTCATGTTCTCTCTCGACACGCTGACTGTGACGGAATTGGCCTTGCCGCCCGTGCCCAGTACCTCCGCATCCGGGATGGGGTATTTGGGCAAAGGCTTGGGTGGATATATGACACTAGGCCTGGGCGCAAAGGGTAGGCCGTGCGCTGTCAATATCAAGGAATCTGAGGTGTTCTTGACCAAAGACAGTACGTGTATCGCATCAAGACCTCTCCCCGCAGTACACTCATGAGATCATAGACGAAGGGCTATTCATTGGTCCTGATGGCAAGCCGTCAAGAACAGAACGGATAGACTGGCCAGCGCCTCCGTCTGAGATATGTGAGGCGTCATGGTACTACCCGTGTTGTATTGACTGACATGCTCACAGCCTTTGTCAAGCCGTATATCTTCAGCTTGCTGCCAGCCGGGACTGTTCCTGCGCCTTCGGCGACCGACACGGCTCCCACATTCATACCTTCACCCGTACTCCAGATATATTCGTCACTGTCTCTCTCGCCCTGTCAGACATTACCGTTTCCCTTTGATGCAGAACCTTCAGCTTCCCATACCCTACGCCTACTCACTTCCTCGCCCGGTGCGAAGTCCCCGTTGTATGTCATCAGGACTCCGACAGATCGCGCACAGGCGACCAACGAAGGGAGCACTATATGGAGGTTCAAGATGAAGTCATGGGTCGCGCAGCTAGACGAACTGGTAGAGGAGGAGCGATACGCGGAGGCGCTTTCGCTGCTGGAGACGTTAGACCAGGCCGTGCTTCCCGACAAAGTGAGGATGTTCCTCGATGAATGAATGTGAGCATCAGCTGATGGATAGTGGCAGGAGCAACGTATGACTCTGGTGAAGAGCTTGGAGGCGGTGGCCCGTTTTCAGGCTGGAGAGCGCGCATCTGCCCTTGCCACCTTCATGGAGCTCAATATCAACCCGGCGAGAGTTGTAGCGTTATTCCCGGAGAGTGTGGCTGGTCGATTGTCAAGACCGCGATCAGAGTGGATTCCGCTGTTCGGTGGTCCAACCCCAAAAGCAGCGGCAAAGGCTAGCCCGGACGCACCAGCATCCAACGCTGAGGAGAAGGGTGGCGAGGGCGATACGGATGAAAGCGCAGCCGAAGAGGCTGCGAAGTCGATTTTACCTTCCGCCAGCGGGCTTATGAATAGGTTCAAGGGACCACTTGAAGCTATACGTCCTGTAGCGAAGGATCCAGAAACGGCCTCCATCGCGAGCTCCACGAAACGAGTTCCGCCGCCAGCAGGTTCATTCCGTTGAATACGTCGAACGTACAGCAACTGACTGAAGGACAGACGACACCAAGCACGCGATCGAGCCTCTCCTTCAGTACCTACCCGATCGACGCGCCAAACTGGCCAGTGCTCTTGAAGCGTTCAACATCTCGGCGTCGGAGTCACACATGCATTCAGCCCTCGCGGAGTCCTCTGTAGAAAATCTATACGCTCTACCGAACTCGCCACTCCGCTCTCTCACGCCGGAACAACTTGTCCGCTGCGCTCAAGTCGTCGACACGGCCTTGTTCAAGACATATCTCATCGTTCGACCTGGTTTAGTTAGCGCCTTATGTCGACGCGAGAACTGGTGCGAAGTATCAGAGATGGAAGAGATGCTCAAAGAGCGTGCGAAGTTCTCAGAGCTAATCTACCTCTACAACGGCAAGAAGATGCACTCGCAGGCGCTCGATCTTTTACAGAAGTGCGGACCTCATTCTTCCCGGTCCGTCCCGAGCTGCTGCTGATACCCTATGACAGGCTCAGTGATGACGAAGTAGGTATGGAGGACAAACTTCGCCCATCCATCTCGTATCTGCAGCGCTTGGGACCGGAGTATCTCGATCAAATCTTCGCACACTCGCGCTGGGTGCTTGAGCAGGATGCTGATCTTGGGTTCGAAGTACGCGTTTGCCCAGTTATCGTCGCGTGTACCAATCTCACACCCCTTGCAGATATTCACGTCTGAAGAGGTCGCCTTGCCGAAGCAACAAGTGGCGTCGTTCCTCGAAAGCATCAATCCCAAGCTCTGTGCCCGGTTCCTTGAGTTCTTGATTAGCGAGCGTGCCGAGGTGGATGCAGACTACCACGATCGTCTAGCTAGCTTATACTTGAAGATGACCATTCAAGCCAAGAAGAGTGGTGCTGAGGGTCTGTTGATATGACTGCTCTGTCGTGTCGTGAATAAGTGGTGCTCACGCGTTTGTAGACTGGAGAACGGACTATGACAAGCTGTTGAAGTACCTCGATACTACTGAGCACTACCGTGTCGACAGGATATTCAGCCAATTACCGTCGGACGGTGAGTATCGCCATCTACGAACGTCGCGTGTGTGCTCATTGTCATTCGCAGATCTCTACGAGGCCAAAGCAGTTCTATTGGGTCGTTTGGGTCGCCATGCCGCGGCACTCGAGCTATATGCATATCGTTTGCATGACTACACGACAGCTGAAGAGTGTGTATTACATCATGTTGCGACACGAGCGCGATTCTCATTGGTGAACAGATATTGCAAGCGCATTTATGTTGCAGGAGGCGAAACGGACGGCATATACCTTACGCTCCTTCGCATCTACCTTCGGCCCGTTGTCAAGACCAACGAAGATCTCCTCCCTCCCGCCCTATCTCTCATTGCGCGTCATGGCCGGCGTCTCGATCCCGAAGCCGCACTGGACCTTCTACCGCCACTCGTCCGCGCTCAAGATGTACAGGCGTTCTTACTCTCCGCCCTTCGTGCGCCCGTCTTCGACACGCGCACAACGCGCAACGCGGCGAAGGCCAGGAACGAGCAGGTTGCACGCAAGCTCATGTATCTTGAGTCGAACCGCGTCAAGGTGACGAACACGAGAATGTGCGTATCCGTCTTACTTGTGCACCTTCGCCTCCTGAGCGTTATCTTGTAGATGCCCTCAATGTCACAAGCGTATCGGACCCAGCGTCATAGCGGTGCATGCTCCTGCGTACGTTTCCGTTCACCGTTACTGAGTGACATTGCACTGATATGTCTTGCAGCGGCGAAGTCACGCATTACAACTGCCGGGAGCCATTTGCGATGAAGCTCAAGGAGATGCGGCGTGCTTGATCTCTGGTACTCTCACGGACACATTATACCCCCCTCATGTATATTTGGAGCATGCATACATCGGCGCAGTCTACATCCCCGATCCTGGGCGATGAATTCGCGTGAGTGTTCACAAGGGACCAAGCGTCATCCCCGGGCTTTGTTGAGTGCGAGCCAGAAAGGGCGTCATATTCGGTGTACAAGATCGGTCAGAAGAGTTCAAATGGTAAGGCAGGCCGCGCGGTTGAAGGCTGCGGGGCTGGTGAAGTACTGGGCAAGTTGGGCATAACGTCGTTGAAGAGATTATCAAGGAAGTCATCCTCAGGAGCCTGCTGCACTGGTTCAGGGCTTCGGCATAGCTCGCGTATAGCCGCTTGACTGGAAAGAGGAATAGGTGTGGCAGCTTTCGATGGCGCGTTGGGCGTAAAGAGGATCCTTTCCGCGCTATCGCGCTTCGCCAGGGGCACAAGGAGCGGCTTTGGTCGTTTGTCAATGTTATCAACGCGGTCTGGGATGCGCGATGAATGTTCTTGCGCCGTGGGAAGTACGCGACCCGAGGTATTCGCCAGCGGGAAGACTGGTCGAATGGGAAGCTTGAGCTTGGAAAGGGGTTTTGATGGCATAGATGCTGGCGCCTTGCTCTGTAAGGCAAAGTGGTACGGCGGAGGATGGCTCAGGGTCGTGCTCGAGGTAAGCGGTGTAGGCTTTGTAGAAGAAGTGACCCCGTCGTGAGGACGAGCGGGCGTCTTTGACGCGTCAACGTGCGCGGTGACATCAGGCTGTGCGGATTGATCTTCTGCGAAGAGCGCGTCGAGATCTATATCGTCGAGCGAAGGGACTGGCTTTCTCATGTCTATAGACGTCGGATGCTCGCAGAGCTCGCCAGAGGGCCTGATTTCTTGGAGACCCCGAGCAGTTTCAGCTTGCAAAGGAGCGGTCGCGTCTTCAGCAGTAGACACAGCCTCTTCGTGATCAATAATATCCCAATCTATATCCGTCTGAGGCTCGTCCACTTGCGCAGTTGGGAGCACCAGCGTTGGATACGTTTCGGCACCAGCCATACGGTCGACAGCAGCCGGCGGTATATCCACCTCTACTACAGTGCTGAGTGAGGAGGCGCTACGATATAGTGCGGACTGGACAGAGGTGTTCGATTGTTGAGAAGGTAGAAACCCCAGTGCCAATCCAGCGGCGTCCCAGGCATCAGGCTCTTCAAGTAAGTCGCCCACGCGAAGCAGAGGTCCGGAAGACGACTCTGGTAAGCCATGTTCAGTACGAAGGACTGATTGAGAAGCCCCATGCGACCCGGACGAGCCAGGCCGAGGCGTGGGGAAGAGACGCTGCAGTGATGTAGCGCCGAGTTCTTGCGCGCTTGGACTAACGGGCGAGACGTAGCGCTCATGCGCAAGTCCTGCGTCTGTATGTGATGGAGATGGCTGACTGCAAACTACGTCAGCGTATCGGGCCTGCATCTGGTTCTTGATGTCCAGAAGACCGCGCGAGGATATTGGGCGAGATGAAGAATCAGACGCGGCTGCGGCTTCTCCGTCACCCTGTGAGCCGATATCCGCGACGAAAGCAAAAGGCGATTCCTCAATGCCAGGATCCATACCCGAGACATCCTCTTCAAACCCACAGTCGTCTCGCCTATCAAGAGGGGGATTGGAAGCACTTGCGCTAGAAGATCCTGACGAACGATTGATGACAGGAATATTAGCAGGACCAGAGCGGTTCTCGTTGCGACGAGTCATGGTAGAGCGGGTCTTGAGCCTTCCACGCATGGAAATGAGACCAGTCGTATTCGATACGCGAAGAATATGCGACACGGTTGAGCGGTAAGATACGCCTGTATGCAGCGATCAGCAACGGAGATTCGAAAGGCATACCACCAGTTAACTCACTGGTAGGATCAATGTCCATCTCAACTAACACGCGCGAGGACTTCTTCGCTCTACGTTCTTCGCCGTCAATACTGCCATTGTCGTGAGATGAGGTCAAGTTATAAGCGTTCTCGGTCCGTCGGCTCCCAGTATCACGTGAAGCATGATCCAGTTCAATAGGCAGTGCAGCGTATTGACGAGCGGTAGCGTCTGCAAGCGGAGTTGCAGAGTGAGGTGCTGCCAGAGACTTCTGCAGGAGCTCGACGCGTTTTCGGCCAAAGTGATGCTTTTCGGCCCTGCCGCGCGAGTCCTTGGAACGCGTGCGCGCCGAGTTTCTGGACAGATCTCAGCTCCATCCGAGTCAGATACAGCTTTATCGCGTACCTCTTACCGCCCATGTAATTTGCGCCGGCCATCTTTACGAAGCGAGCTGATACGGACGAGAAACGGTGATGCAAGCCGGAGGCAAAAGAGACGCGTCGCCAGGAACGCCCGCAACGCGTGACGAGACGCGCCTTGTCACGCCTTCCTCGTGGCAACAGGTGTTCTCTTGCGCCGCATGCGCTTCGTCTTCGCCTCGTACCACCATATTCAGCATTCTCTTTCCGGCACCTGTGGCTGCGTGAAAGCACGGATCATCTCGTCCTAGCGATAATGAGGCAGATCCGTGCAAGCTTTCGGCGCGGAGTGGGCGTAAGGCGAACCCGATGCGTGTGCGCACCATGCAGTGGCACGCACGTTCGTGCATTGTGGCGGCCCGCAGTTTGCCGACACAACAAGATCCGCTTACCATTTCCCTGCCACACAGCTCGCAAACACCTGTGCTACATACGAAATACGATAGTATGAAGATATGCATACCATATGGCAGCTTGCGCATCGCGCGAAAGTCAATCCTCGACTGCACTGCAGGTCGACTGACCTCGGGTGACTGCACGAGCGAGCGTGCGCACAAATTCATCACCCGTCGCGCTAAAGTTGCCACATCCACGTCTACGTAGAATCCATCGCCCTAGCTTCTCTTTTTCCGTTCCTGAGACTCACCGTCCACTTCAGGTCCAAGGTTCGACAGCGAACGACCGCAGTGCGGTCCGGGGCCATCGGGAGCACAAAGGCTACCCACAACTCTGATCGACATCCGGATAGCGAGCTCGTTCGTAGAGGCGTGGCGCGGTAGTGGACACCGACGGCCGCTTGGACAGCAATTTTTACATAGCATGCGGTGGACCTCTCCGCGAGTATGTTTGCCATCGCACGTTTGCATCAGCTCAGTCTTCGCTAATTCAGCCAGCAGATGGTCTGTCCTCTTAGCATTTACAGTGCTGTGTAGCGGTGCACCCCATACGTCGAGCACATATCGCGAAAAGCGTATCTAACTGAGGCGTCACCGCTATGGACCCACGCAGGCGCCCTGCACCTGCGAAGAGCGTCCCCGAAGCCGTATCCTCCGAAGTTCAGAAGCGTGTGTAATACTTCCGGCGGCCAGTTCAGGCACTGCCAGCTAAGGTCCCATGGATCCAAACGGGCTAACCGATCAAAGTTGAACTGAATGCGGGGTTCAGGATATCCAGTCACACCACGAACGTGCGAGGTCGGCTGTAGCGCCCTTCTCAGCTGGGCGCTGGCCCTTGTCTCTGTCTACGCTTCTTGTAACGGGATACAAGCGTACATTTACGGCCAACTGTGACAGCCGAAAGTCCAACCACGATATGAACTTTGGCGGAGGAGGGGAGGACGGTGCGCGAGGTTAGGGCCACACACGAGCGCTCCTGATGCAACAGAGCCGGTGCCCCGAAGGAGGCAAGCTCGACGGTGCCCTGCCGGCAGGAACCGCTTGGCGCCTATCTGCGCGACCTCTTAAAGACTGATGTGCTCGCGCAGCTATCCCTTACCCTCCTCGTTTCCTAGGAGCCCTCCGCCGCCTGCGAGCACTTCATCGTCGCTCCGCGCCCTTAGTCTGCCATGTCCGCCACGCAGTCTCTCGAGGAAAAGAACATCGCCAGCTCAAAGGGTCCCATCGACCTCGACGAGCGCAGGCGCGCCGCCCTCGCCGAAATCGACAACGCCAAGTTCTCGTACGTGCTCTCCCGTTTTGGGTAGTTTGCGCCCTCTTATTGACATTCCGCGTAGTTGGTTCCACGTCAAGGTTGTCTGTGTCGCGGGTGTCGGTTTCTTCACGGATGCCTACGATATCTTCTCTATCTCCATCGTCGCGACGATGTTGGGCATAGTCTACAACAGCAACTCGACTTCCCTCGGCGTCAACCAGGATCTCGGTGTCAAGATTGCCACGCCCATCGGTAACATTGTCGGTCAGCTCCTGTTCGGTTGGCTCGCGGATGTCGTTGGCCGCAAGCGCATGTGTATGTCTATTCCCGTCTTTGACAGCCGCAAGCTATTTACCATTTGGGATAGACGGTATTGAGCTCATGATCATCATCTTCACCACATTCGCCCAAGCGCTCTCCGCTGCCGGCCCTGGTCTCTCCATGACCGGTGTTATCGTCACATGGCGTTTCCTACTCGGTGTCGGTATCGGTGGCGACTATCCTCTGTCTTCGGTTATCTCGTCGGAGTTCGCTTCGACACGCATCCGTGGGCGCATCATGACTGCCGTTTTCGCCTTCCAGGGCTGGGGCAATCTTGGTACTTCCATTTCCCCGATTAAGCTCGGCTTCTTTTCTCACATGCATTGACAGCTTCTGCCATCGTCTCTGTCGTGGTCATCACTGCCTACAAGGGACGCATCGAGAACCCCGAGCACACCATCAAGTCGATCGACCAGGTCTGGCGCTTCATCATCGGTCTCGGATGCGTGCCCGCCGTTGTCGCCCTTTACTTCCGTTTGACGATCCCGGAGACCCCCCGTTTCACCATGGATATCGACCGCAACGTTCTCCAGGCGAGCGAGGATATTGACGCCGTCCTGTCCAACCGCAACTTCTACGTCGACGAGGAAGCTGCTATCGTTCGCGCTGAGGCACCCAAGGCCAGCCGTCGCGACTTCCTTGCCCACTTCGGCCAGTGGAAGAACGGCAAGGTCCTCTTCGGCACTGCTTACTCCTGGTTTGCTCTCGACGTGAGTCTTAAGCCTATCGCTAAGATCGGGCCTTTACTGACCGTCCCGTAGATTGCGTTCTACGGTCTTGGTCTCAACACCTCCAAGGTCCTCGCTGACATTGGCTTCTCTGGTTCGTCCGCCACGAAGGGCACCGGTCTATACTGGTACGACATCCTCCGCAAGACGGCTGTTGGCAACATCATTCTCGCTGTCGGCGGTTTGATTCCCGGCTACTGGGCAACCTTCCTCTTCATCGACTCCTGGGGCCGCAAGCCCGTCCAGCTCCTCGGTTTCGGCATGCTGACTGTACTCTTCATCATCATGGGTACGCCATCTCCCTCATAAGCTCTGTACCACAGTCTAACCTTGTATCCTAGGCTTCGGCTACAGCGCACTCCAGAGCAGCCCAAGCGCCAAGGACGCGTTCGTCTTCCTCTACTGCCTCACCAACTTCTTCCAGAACTTCGGCCCCAACACGACTACGTTCATCGTGCCCGGCGAGGTCTTCCCGACACGTTACCGCTCTACCGCTCACGGTATCTCTGCTGCCTCTGGCAAGCTCGGCGCCGTCATCGCGCAGGTCGGCTTCGCTCGCCTCACGAACCTCAAGGGCGCCGGCAGCAAGAACGGCTGGCTCGACCACATCTTCGAGATCTTCGCCTTCTTCATGTTGACTGGCTTCTTCTCCACGCTCCTCATCCCCGAGACCAAGAACAAGTCGCTCGAAGAACTTTCGAATGAGGCCCAGGAGGGCTTCGTGCGCCCCAAGCCCGTCAACGTTCCCCAGATCGCATGAGTTAGTCGCGCGTGAAGGATATACCTGTTGTCGTTGGCTCCCATTGTCGTTGTTGTTGTTCACTCTCGCTCTCCTTACTATCTTTGCTACCTCTTTACGGATCACTCGTCCCGCTCTACGAGACTGCTTACGGCGTATTTAATCATGCCTTCCAAAACTATATCTGTATTGTAAGGGACAATCGCTCTTAGATGCGAGAGGTTAATGTATACAGTCTGTCATCACTACGTTGACCATGGAAACCAGGTCGCACCGAGGGAGCGCTTCGGACAATGCCAGAGCGTTGCATGTCGTTGAACGCAAGTGCGAGACTGCGACTGACTGCGAGCGTCGCGACGGCGAAGACCTCATCAAGGCGTGAGAATGCGTGACACGGCCTCCTCCCGTTGACGACACCCCGCATCCGCGTCCTTCCTCCCGTCCACACCCCAGGGATGGCGATATCATTTAGCTATTTCTCCCTATCATCCGAAGGGTGCTTTTTTGCACTTCACCGAACATCAAGGAGGCTTGCAAGGTGTACAATCTCGTGACGAATGTGAACCCTGTTTGACCCGCAAACTGCCATCCGAGTAGGGCAGACTACAGCCGCTGCCGTGGGTGAACGTTGCAGGATAGGCCAACGTGCGTCAACATGCGCGCGAGTACTGTGTATGTGGCTGTACCGTACAAGGGATCTTGTCAACTACACTCCCGAGATGGGCCAACACTCACGCCTGTACACGCGGCTCTTCCCCGCTTTGCAGGTTCAGATGCCTGCGAACGCAGCGCCTCGCTGTGCATGCTCACTTCTATGCTCAGTCTCTCGGTGCTTACCTTTGCGCCCAGCGTCGAGTCACATAGAGCGGTATTGTTGAGGCGCACTCGATGGGGCTCTGACAGCGGGAAGGTTGGCGTCTATCCCCACGACTTCTTAAGGCGTTGGCAAGTCACTCCCTTCGTTACCTAGGAGCACTCTACCGCCTGCAAGCCCTTCGCTTTGGCAACTGGCCTTCACTTTGCCATGTCTACCTCCCAATCTCTCGGGGACGAGAACGACGCCAGTATCGACCTGAACGAGCGTCGGCGCGCCGCCCTCGCCGAGATTGACAACGCCAAATTCTCGTGAGTACCCCATCGCCTCGAAGTTGTTGCAGAGTATTTGCTCAAGTCTTGCGCAGATGGTTCTACGTCAAGGTCGTCTGTGTTGCCGGTGTCGGGTTCTTCACGGACGCCTATGATATCTTCTCTATCTCCATCGTTGCGACCATGTTGGGCATTGTTTACAATGACGCATTGATGAAGTTCGATGCCAACCCAACCCTTGCAGTCAACCAAGATCTCGGTATCAAGGTCGCTACACCGATAGGCAACATCGTCGGCCAGCTCCTGTTCGGTTGGCTCGCAGACGTCGTTGGCCGCAAGCGCATGTGTATGTCCATTTCCGTCTCTGACAACCGCAGGCTACTTATTGACTATTTGGGATAGACGGCATCGAGCTCATCATCATCATCTTCACCACTTTCGCTCAGGCTGTCTCCGCCTCAGGCCTCGGTCTTTCTATGACCGGAGTCATCGTAGTATGGCGTTTCCTGCTCGGTGTCGGCATTGGCGGAGACTACCCTCTCTCGTCGGTCATCTCATCCGAGTTCGCATCTACACGTATCCGAGGGCGCATGATGACTGCCGTATTTGCTTTTCAGGGATGGGGCAACCTTGGTACTTCTATTCCCCCAAAGCTCAAGCCCTTTCTTACCCTCACATAGCTTCGGCCATCGTCTCTGTCGCGGTTATTTCAGCGTACAAGGACCGCATCGAGGACCCCGAGCACACCCTCAAGTCGATTGATCAAATCTGGCGCTTCATCATCGGCCTCGGATGTGTGCCTGCCGTCGTCGCTCTCTACTTCCGCCTCACAATTCCGGAGACGCCGCGCTTCACGATGGATGTTGAGCGCAATGTGACTCAAGCAAGCGAGGACATCGACGCATCATTGACTAACAGCAAGTTCTACGTCGACGAAGAGGCTGCCGTTGTCCGTGCCGAGGCACCGAAGGCCAGTCGTCGCGATTTCCTTGCGCACTTCAGACAATGGAAGAATGGCAAGATGCTCCTCAGCACCGCGTACTCTTGGTTTGCTCTTGATGTAAGCCGTCAAGTCCCGACATGAGCAATTGGCGCTGACCGACTGTTCCGAAGATTGCTTTCTACGGTCTCGGGCTAAACACTTCGAATATTCTCGCCGATATCGGCTTCTCTAAGTCAAATGCTACTGCGCCTGGTCAATACTGGTACGAAGTCCTGCGCAAGACATCTGTCGGTAATATTATTCTTGCCGTCGGCGGTCTGATACCCGGTTACTGGGCGGCCTTCCTCTTCATCGACTCTTGGGGTCGAAAGCCAATTCAGCTTATGGGCTTTGGCGTGCTTACTGTGCTGTTCATCATCATGGGTACGTCCAGCGTCCTGTCTCCTCCTCATTCTTGTTTGACCCTGTATGCAGGCTTTGGCTACAGCGCCCTACAGCGCACTAGCAGCTCCAGAAACGCGTTCGTCTTCCTCTACTGTCTCACCAACTTCTTCCAAAACTTCGGTCCCAACACCACAACATTCATCGTGCCCGGCGAACTGTTTCCCACACGATATCGCTCCACTGCTCACGGTATCTCCGCTGCCTCTGGCAAGCTTGGGACTGTCGTTGCACAGGTCGGCTTCGCTCGCCTTATGAACATCAAGAGCGCCGGACGGTGGCATTTTCTCGACCACATCTTTGAGATCTTCGCGTTCTTCATGCTTACAGGCTTCTTCTCGACGCTCCTCATCCCCGAAACCATGAACAAGTCACTTGAGGAGTTGTCAAACGAGGACCAGGAGGCTTTCATGAACCTCAAGCCTATCGGTCCTCAGAGAGTCGCTTACTCCTAAAGGATACCTATATATATAGTTATTATCTGCTTTCACTTCACTGCTATCTTCGCTATCGCACTATAGATCAAGTAATCTGCTTAACGAGACTGCTCGCATTCAGCGTTGTTATGGTCTCGATCTTCATCTGCGCTATATGGGGCAGAGTGTCGTGGGTTCGAGATACTGAGTAGACGATCAGCCAGCACTGTAAGATTGACCCGCATCTCACATCCGATCCGCGAGTTCGACCTCGACGGCTCTGGGTGAGCTGACGAGATTTTCGCATGAGCTTAGGAAGAGAGGGTTTCCCGCTTGTGTAGAACATTGCGATTGGAACTCAGGACGAGATGGGGGTTCAGTCTTGGAAACATTAGAGAGAAGAGAGGCACGCGAATTCGTCGGCCGAGCCTCGAGCTCGGCGGCCGCCTGTGCCGATCAACCACTCGACGTGGCGCCGGCGGCTGCCAAACACCAGAACCGCCTTTCTCGCTCATACCACCACGCGACTCAGAATTGCAATGATATCAGTAGCTACTGTCACCTGCTAAGCGGACTGCGTGCATAACTGTTGAGATTGCCCGACTTAACACTTGGGATAGATGGGACGAGTATACCTGATCACGGGCCCAGCGAACTCCAATCCCTCATCCGCAAGAGTCGCTCCCTGTAAGGGCGTCTGCACGACACGATCTGCCTTCTTCTTCGCCTGTATGATGAACCGAATGCGAGGCTTGTATGGGCGACTCTTCCCCGAGAGCATCACAAGATCCCGCGCGAGCAGACGAAGCCCCTCAATATAATGTGTACGGCTTCGCACCTAGCCTCCATCGGATGTGCGAGCACTTTCGCGCTCTTATTCGGTGATGTCTCCCTCGCAATCTCTCGAGGACAAGAATGCCGTCGACCTGGATGCGTGTCGGCGCGCCGCACTCGCCGAAATCGACAACGCTGAATTTTCGTACGTGACCGTCTGTCCAGTACAAGCAACATCACTAATCTTGCATAGCTGGTTTCATGCCAGGGTTGTCTGTGTTGCGGGCGTCGGTTTCTTCACGGATGCCTACGACATCTTCTCCATCTCCATCGTTGCTACAATGCTGGGCATGGTCTACAACAACGGGGCAACTTCTCTCGGCGTCAATCAGGATCTCGGCATCAAGGTCGCTACACCCGTCGGTACCGTCCTCGGTCAGCTCCTCTTCGGTTGGCTTGCAGACGTCGTCGGCCGTAAACGCATGTGTACGTTCATGAATGCTTTTCAAAACTGGCTCCAGCTCATTGTCATTGCGTAGACGGTATCGAGCTCATCATCATCATCTTCACCACCTTTGCTCAGGCTATCTCCGCTGCTGGTCCCGGTCTGTCAATGACCGGGGTCTTCGTCGTCTGGCGTTTCTTGCTCGGCGTCGGTATTGGGGGCGACTACCCGTTGTCTGCAGTAATCTCATCTGAATTCGCATCTACACGCATTCGCGGACGAATGTTGGCCGCTGTAGTCGCAAACCAGGGCTGGGGTAACCTTGGTACTTCAATCTCCCCATTTAAGTTCGGGCTCTTCTCACCCCTGCCAACAGCTTCTGCCATCGTGTCTGTTGTTGTTATCTCTGTGTACAAGAGCCGCATCGAGAACCCCGAGCACACGGTCAAGTCCATCGACCAAGTTTGGCGCCTCATCATTGGCCTTGGATGTGTTCCCGCCGTTGTCGCCCTCTACTTCCGTCTTACGATCCCGGAAACACCCCGCTTCACGATGGACATCGAACGTAACGTTCTCTCGGCGAGGAAAGACATCAAGATAGTATTGGGAGATCATCCGTCCTATGTTGGCGAGAAGACTGCTGTCATTCGCGCCGATGCACCAAAGGCCAGCTTCCGCGACTTCGTTGCCTACTTCAGCCAACGCCAGAATGGTAAAGTCCTCTTTAGCACCGCGTACTCCTGGTTTGCTCTTGATGTGAGCTGTCGTTTCTCTCATCTACCGATACCTGCTAACCGCGCACAAGATTGCTTTCTACGGCCTGGGACTCAACACGTCGAAAGTTCTTGCCGACATCGGATTCTCTGACTCAAGCGCTAAGCCGTACGACCTCCTCTTGAAGACCGCTATCGGAAACATCATTCTCGCCGTTGGTGGTCTGATCCCCGGGTATTGGGCTACCTTCATCTTTATCGACTCTTGGGGTCGTAAGCCGATCCAGCTTCTAGGTTTTGGAATGCTCAGCGTACTCTTCGTCCTCATGGGTGAGCCCACTTTATGCCTCTCTGACTAAACTGCTGACACGGCCTCTCAGGCTTTGGGTACAGTACTTTTCATGAGACCCAGAACTCCAGGGATGCCTTCGTCTTCCTATATTGCCTCACCAACTTCTTCCAGAACTTCGGCCCCAACACTACTGTGTTCATTGTCCCCGGAGAGTTGTTCCCAACCCGCTACCGCTCAACCGCGCACGGCATCTCTGCCGCCTCTGGCAAGCTCGGCGCTGTCGTCGCACAAGTCGGCTTTGCTCGCCTCACGAACCTCAAGGGCGCTGGCAGCAAGAACGGCTGGCTCGACCACATCTTCGAAATCTTCGCCTTATTCATGCTCACAGGCTTCTTCTCGACTTTGCTCATCCCCGAGACCAAGAACAAGTCGCTCGAAGAGCTTTCGAACGAGAATCAGGAAGGCTTCGTGAGGCCCAAGACTGTGAGCGTCTCGCGCATAGCCTACAATCGCGCCTGAAATGTACTTGTACCTATTGCTATGATCATCCGTTATCTTGTTTTCAAGCCTTTTCCTTCTATCGTCCATCGCTCTACGAAAGTGTTTTCCGCGTATTACCTCTTTTATAAAGTTACATTCAACCGGTCAGAGTTCATGGAGTATTATCAATGTGAAGCTTGAAGAGCACCACGCCGTCCACAGGTGGATACTCTCCGATCTTCGTGGAGGACACACTTGCATAGAGTTTAATAGAAGCCTAACAGACAGCTTCGCTCGGCAGAGGCGCGGGTGTTCCGGGCATCCACGTCCTGGAGCGAGTCTACCTGTATCGTGCATCGCACAGAAGGGTCTCACTCGAGATGGTCCCGACTCCCGACGGGTGCCCGCAGGTGCCGCCATTTGCCGATTCACATATCAGTCACGCCTCATGCATCATGCGTCACGTTCGAAAGCGATCAGGTGGCGGTTGCAGCCTCCCTCGCACCCTCATGTCGCTCGCAACTCGGTACTGCAGTCCTATATAGAGGCGGGATTTCCCGCTATATCATTGACCCCGTGAGATACCTGCTTAGTATTTTGGGGTGAGCGCAGCGGCCGCTGCCCTGGACTGAGCAATATCAACGAAACTACTATTAGGGAATCTACAGATTTCTTTCAGCCAGTTAACGCGAGCATGGGCCTTGGGGGCTTGGTGGCGGATACCGGTAGCAGGAAGGCTGCCATATGTGTGGGTATGACACACCGGATTGCTTGATAACGTTGAACGTTAAACTCCCAACCCACATACTCACGCTGCGTGCCGATATGTGCGCCTGCGCGCCGGCAGGATCTGCGGCGCTTCTCCCGTAAGACGTCCCGGTCATCGACGCTTGTACATGTCAGTACTCCCCGCAAATACCATGAGTACGCACAAGTACAAATGGCCCGTCGTCGTTTATACGGACGCGACTCGACTGGCAGTGCTACGACTGCGCCGCCTCCCCGAGTCCGCCATGTCTCCCACTCGGTCTCTCAAGGGAAAGAACGTTATCGACCTGGACGAGCGTCGACGTGCTGCCCTTGCCGAAATCGACAATGCTATGTTCTCGTATGTGCCAAGTCACCTCGGTTCTATTTGACCGCCGGCGTAGTCTGTATTCAAGGTTTATACAGATGGTTCCACGTAAAGGTCGTCTTCGTCGCCGGCGTAGGGTTCTTCACAGACTCTTACGATATATTTTCCATTTCCATCGTTGCCACGATGTTGGGCATGGTCTACAACGGCGGCGCGACCTCGCTTGGCGTCAATCAGGACCTTGGTGTCAAGGTTGCTACACCCATCGGTAATGTAGCTGGTCAGCTCGTCTTCGGATGGCTTGCGGACGTCTTCGGCCGTAAACGCATGTGTACGTTGATGGGTCTGTAGCAAAGCTGTTTTGTGCTTATCCCTGTTGCATAGACGGCATCGAGCTCATCATCATGATCTTGGCCACCTTGGCGCATGCCGTCTCCGCTGCAGGACCCGGCCTCTCGATGACTGGCGTCATCATCGTATGGCGATTCATACTCGGCGTAGGTATTGGCGGAGATTACCCTTTGTCTGCTGTGATCTCCTCTGAGTTTGCGTCTACTCGCTTTCGCGGGCGGATCATGGCAGCTGTAGTCGCAAACCAGGGTTGGGGCAACCTTGGTACTTCGATTTCCCCGTTTTGGCTCGGCTTTCTTCTTACGTGTCCCGACAGCTTCTGCTATTGTGTCAGTTGTGGTCCTCTGCGCGTACAAGAGTCGCATCGAGGATCCGCAACACACGATCAAGTCTATTGATCAAGTCTGGCGCTTGATCATCGGTCTTGGTTGCATCCCCGCCATTATCGCCCTCTACTACCGGCTCACGATCCCGGAGACACCCCGATTTACTATGGACATAGATCGCAAAGTTCTCCAAGCCAGCGAGGACATTGAAGCAGCGATGTTCAACAGAGAGTTCTGTATCGATAATAGGGGCGTCGAAATCCGCGTTGAGGCACCTAGGGCCAGCTACCACGATTTCTTTGCATACTTCAGTAAACGGCAGAATGGCAAGGTGCTTTTCAGCACTGCATATGCCCGGTTTGCTCTCAACGTCAGCCCTCCTTTTCCTATGCTGCATGTGACAGCTAATGTTCCGGAAGATCGCGTTCTACGGTCTCACTCTCAACACGTCGAAAGTTCTGGCTGACATCGGTTTCTCTGACTCAAGCGCTAAGCCGTACGACCTTCTTCTGAAGACATCTGTCGGTAACATCATTCTGGCGGTGGGAGGTCTGATACCTGGTTACTGGGCGACATTTCTCCTCATCGACTCTTGGGGTCGGAAACCGATCCAACTGATGGGTTTCGGTATGCTTACCGTGCTCTTCATTATAATGGGTGAGTTTGATCGGCGCATTCCTAGCCGCCCAGCCGCTAACATCGTCTCTCAGGCTTTGGCTACAGCACTCTGCAACGGAATGAGGACTCTCGTAATGCTTTCGTCTTCCTTTACTGTCTCACCAACTTCTTCCAAAACTTTGGGCCCAATGTAACAGTGTTCATTGTCCCCGGAGAGTTATTCCCAACGCGCTATCGTTCCACGGCTCACGGCATCACTGCTGCCTCTGGCAAGCTCGGCGCCGTCATTGCGCAGGTCGGCTTCGCTCGCCTCACGAACCTCAAGGGCGCTGGCAGCAAGAACGGCTGGCTCGACCACATCTTCGAAATCTTCGCCTTCTTCATGCTCACTGGCTTCTTATCCACACTCTTCATCCCCGAGACCAAGAATAAGTCGCTCGAAGAACTTTCGAACGAGGCCCAGGAGGGCTTTGCGCGCCCCAAGCCCGTCGACGTATCATAGATCGCATAAGCCAGTGGCGCGTGGCGCGAGAAGGGTCTTCCTATCTCTGCTCATCATCGCCTTCTCACTCCGTATGTACAACCTTTCATACAAGATGCTCATCCTGCTACACGAGATAATGAGCGCGCTGTCCCTGCGATCTTATGTGGGCTTGACCCGCGCTCAAGCTGTCACCCTATACGGTAAGATGCACCCGCAGACACCATGAACTCTGGCTCGACGTGTGCGCGAGCTTATTCAAGGATGACTGTACGAAAGTATCTCCATCAGCTGTGAACCCTCTTGTAAGATGTCCCGGAATTGGCTCTTGTAGCCGCGACTCTTCCCCGAAGACATCGCAGGTTCTCGCGCGATCATTTGAAGGACCTCGCTATATGCGCTCGGTTTCACACTCAACACTTGGTGAAATGCCGACATGCCGAGCCTATAGCGGGTCAATCAGTTCGGATGACCTCTTCTGACCGGGCGCCCGCACAAGGAGGCAAGTTGGACGACATACCACAGCACGATTGCTTTCTTGATGTTAACCTTCCCTCCGCGTTTGCTCGCGGTCTGGCCCTTCTCTTTCGAACGTATGGCGGCGTAGGTATAGCGGATAGCGTGCTGTATGGTGCCTATCATCACAAGCGCGTCAACTTTTTGCCTCGCTTGACACTGGAGCACGGATGGAACGGGAGAAGCGCATCACATAGGATGAGATGGTACATGGGACAATGAAGCTTCGACTGCGCTAACATGTGTGCACTCACGATGGATGAATGTCGTGTTGCGTTGGACACGCCCTCTGCCCCATGAACGTAGATAGCGTTGGGTCTTCATTGCAACCAGAAGGAAGTTCTGGTAAATATTAAGGTAGACAGTTCGCTGTGAACTGAGCGACGTGTCGCAATAGATGATGTGACTCTTTGCCTTGCTCAGCCTGGAGGGTTCAACCTAAACACACGACATGTCTGCGACGGAATTGGTAATCTGACGAACTGAAGTATCTTATGGACGAAAGCCTTGCCGGCGTTTTTGCCACGATGAACGGTGAGCGAGTCAGACAGGTCTACAGCGGAAATCAGTTGCATGACCACTATGAACGGATGAACGGCCCGAACAGCTCTCATGGAAGCGGGTGTAATCCGTGGACACCGACAAGTCCTTCGTGTTGATGAAGAGACCACACCACGGAAACTCTGTCGTACCGATCAGCGCGTCGAAGGCGATGCACGAGTACGTCCCACGTACTGTCGAGATATGAATCAAGCACGAGTGCGCCACCTTCGAAGTTAGTCAGGGTCTTCTCTTGGGAGATGAAGCAGCCGTAGTCGGGATGGCCATCTTGCATGATCTTCAAGAACGTGCGCGCTTTTTCCAGGTCCGTCGTGATGAACAGATAGTCGTCAATGAGACGAAGCAGAGCCTAATGTGAAGGCCGCTAAGCTCGGGACAAGCGCGACAGTGATGATCGATTCCTACGCTTTCTGGGTCCTTGGTAACATGTAGGCGCTTTCTCTCGAGATCGGCGTAGAAGTAGGAACACAACAAGGACGAGCACACGGACCCCTGTGGGATGCCGACGATTTGTTGGTAGTAGACGCCCCCGATCTGTTGGGCGCGCTCTCAGGATCTGAAGATAGCGCGAAGGACGGTATCTCTCACCTTGACGTAGTTCTCGGTGATATGCTCCTCCAGCAGTTCAAGAACAGAGTGCCTCTTCTCCGTCGGATAGTTGACCTGGTCAACGAAGATAGACGATCTCAATGTGTGAGCGAGGTCCTTGGCCAGTTTCAGGAAGTGAGGTGGATCGTCTGCGTAAGGACATAATCAAGCCCAGCTCAGCAAGGTTCAATGGGCTATTGTACCTGCGGGGCACGCTTTCTTGTGGAACGTGCGCTTGATTTTGTCGGTCGTCTGTGTGACTTCGCCGTACCTGATGATGCTATATTCGTCCTATTGGGACGGTGCGTGAGCTGGCACTCAATTGCACAGTAGAACACGCCGGACCTCGGAGATGATATCCCTCAACAACCGGAGCAGCTTCGTCTGCTCAATGGTGTCGAAGCACGCCTGCACGTCTACCTTGACGAAGTAGAGCTTCGGCCTACGCAACACAATCAGCGGAGCCGGTCATCGCAAGGTACGAGTAGCGTACCAGGTAGCTTCATGTACGCCGTAGCGAGCCTGCAAACGTAGCTTGTAGTCTTTGAGCAAGCCATATATCCCATTCTGTCCCAAGACCGAAGATCCCAGTAGTTCAGGGCGCATGTCCTGATGACGTTTCAGTAAGATCTGATGCAATCCAAGGATGGAAGCATCACCTTCTCATATGTTAGGATCTGAAAAGCGGCCTGCAATATGTCATTGATAGACTGCTGGTATCCACCAGCTGCAGGCTAGAGATATCAAGTATTAGCTGGATCAGAATGGAAGTGAAACAAGTTCGCTCTGCAACGTTCCTGGCGTTCTGCAGACTTCTTCCGCAGATTGACGATGGGTCGAACACCGGATTCCTTCGGTAGTAGTCGCACGAACGAGAAGCCAAGCTTCCGCTGACGAACTACCTCCTCGACCTTGCGCTAGTGGGGAACGTCAGCAGCAGCAAACGTAACAGCGAACTCAATGTGGACATACACCATCGACCTGCGTAAATGTGACCGACGTCAAGCGTTCGATAAGTGGTGCGCATAGTGTATCCCAATCGTCCTGCCGGAAATATAAGATACGGTTGCGGAAGGCCGAAGACTCTGTGATGTAGAACGTTGTCTGCACAGTAACGTCAGCCAAGATCGAAGGCGGGTGGACGCAGCGTACGCGTAGAAGCGGAATCACGAAGCAGCTGATATACCAGTACATGAACTCCTCGATGATCTCGCGTCGCTTGGCATGTTCGGAAGGTGGTGCATGTTTGGTGTCACCCACGTCTAGCCACTTGCACTCCATGGAACAAAATCCTTGAAGAGCATTATGCAACGTGATGGTCTCGTAACGGCGAGTAGAGATGATATCCTTGACAGCTACAATGGCTCGAGTCAGTATGGAATGCACGTGGACTATGACCGCGACATGCCTTTCATAGCGATAGAGAAGTTATGGGCCGACCCCCACATACGTTGAGGTACGACGGCCTTAGTGACCAGCACCACATAGCGAAAGACTTCCACATGCGTGCAGACAAACTCAGCGAATCTTGGCTTCGCCTTGCGCGCCATCGTGGACGTCTGAGTGGGATTGAGATGTGAGGAGGAGGTCGTCCTGTCTGCTGAGCTGAACGATGTGGCAGTGGGCGGTAGCTGACTAAGATGGATCGAGTCTTCCGATATCAACTCCTAGATTGTTCATGAGTGCTGACGTTATTTCGACCCGTACGACACATACCAGGAGAATCGAACTATCCACGGGACGGCGATCTTGTTGTCGAGGTAGCTGTCAGGCGATGAGACAGCGGTCCAGAAATAAACTTGCAGACGAACCTTTGACGGGCATGCGAGGTTGCGAAGTAGCTTATACCTGCATTTGCCGTGGTGCCATAAGCTCTTCTCCAGTAGATCAACCGCCTGCTTCAGTCTCTTGGGAGTCTTGTGGGGACCGAGCTTCTGCGAGCAACTCAGTCTTCAAGAAGATGTAATCGAGAGACTCTGCGAACCTTGATGTCGTCCTCGCGGTCCATATAACCGCTACTAGACGAACCACGCGCGTCGAAAACGCTGGGGAGGCCATACTGCCGTGGGAAAACATACTTCGCCAGATGCCTGGCATCTTCCATCTGAGCTGATTGATCATTCGCTCTCGAGTGCTTGACTGGAGGCCGAAAGATGTTGAAGACATCTGTGATCGTTCGTCAGCATGAGTCTGTACATAGACGCACGCGGCGCGTACGCTTGGGAGGTAACCCCACCGCGATGGTTCTAGTATGCGGCAAGAAGCTTGGACGAGCATAGAACAGCCTAACTCGCTCGAAGTTGATTTCGACAGGGCTACGCTCACAGTCAGCCATGACGGATGTACGAGTCGTACAAGTCTGACTTACGTTCGTTTCTCTCCCGCATGAGGCGAGGAACGTTCGAAGGAGTTTGGCCTAGTGGGCAAGCCATTGGAGAGCTTGAGACGTTTTGCCGACCGACCTGGATCCACAATAGTCTCATTTGTGCGCTTTCTTATTACGGGAGGCGTGGTCGATGGAGCTCTTGGTGTAGGGGCGATTGGTACCACTGGTGGTCTTGTGTGCACTATTGGCTGACCGCTCAACTGGCAGAAACAGTCGTTCCCAAGCGGAACAAAGATGGACGTGTTTGTGAGAAGATGAGTCATCATGTCCGTGCCGACCCTTTCGTGCGTTTAGCAACTGAGGTAACTGTGGGTACGGTGATCGCATTACCGTTTCAACAGTTCCTCCCAGTGAGTGTTGTGTAAAGCAGTTACGTTCGTGTTGAAGGTGTCATTCTTAAGTTCGTTGCCCTGATAATGTACGAGCGTAAGAGCGAATCGAAAGACAAGACGAGATGATGAGGATATACCCGATAGGTGTACCCATAGGTCAACATGTTCGAGGATTTCGGCTTCGTCTTCCCGTTATTATTGCCCCAGCTCCACGTACGCTTGAGAGCCTGCTTCTGCACAGTGCTAATGATCTTAATGCGACGTGAGTACTTCAGCTCGCAAGCACGACAGCTCAACGCACGCTTCCCATGTCGTTGCCCAGCAAGTCCAACGAGACGCGATTGGGCGCGGCCGCATTGAGCGAACATCCGATAAGCGTGCCGTTCACAAGTTTTTGGTAATTCTCCGAGTCGGAGTCTAGGACTAGATTGTTCGCAAGTCCCTCCTTGTCCTCGTCGCGGAGGGTGAGAAGGATGAAGTCCGAAAGGTTGCTGACATGGGGGTAGTAGAGTTGTAGGACGGAGGAGCTGGTACCAGCTAGAGCCATGCAAGGGTTCAGCTGTCTAGTCCGAGGTCGTGTGGTGTCGAGAGGGGCGAAGACGCCAGAGTGCAAGCTCGCTGATGGTGGTTCATGAGACAGACGCGCGACGCGTCGAAAGCTTGTCAACGGTCAACGCGTCCTGTCACGGCTTGTGACCAGTTATGTATCCCTCCGATTATTCTTTCCAAGTTCTTTGGGCGGCAACACGCTTAGGGAAATGTCATTGATATATTCAAGCTCACGCATTTTCACACTCAAATATTAGAACCAGCACCTGATGGTCTCAGAATACAGCAAACTGAGGTCTCAGCGCTGAGCACTGCAATCAGTCGTCCTGTCTACATATTTTGCCCGCTCACTACGCGTACGGATCCACCAACATCGCCCCGATATTCACTCCTGCCGAGTCGTACGGTTCCAATTTTGGCCGTACAACACGCCTGCGTACTCAGAGCCGTACACGCTCAGTAAGAAATAGCCCTCAGCGACCGCTTTCCACTTGGCACTGCCTCATGGCCGTAACCATCAGACTACCGCCACGCCCGACCTCGCACTGCCTGTAAATCCAAATGTAAGCTGCAGAAACCGATCGCGAGAAGGGAGGACCGACTTTCAATCGTGTACGTCCTTGTGGCGAAGTCACCCGTTCTTGAACGTCCGTTTATTAGCTGCTTCGAGGGTTTTCGGCCGGCACCTTCGCCGACACCCGGAAATCTGCCCGTGAGCTCAGAGGGACACTCATGAGGTGGAAACTGAAGCAGGCCTGATAAATAGGGTCTGCATGGCATTCCGAATGGGAGTTAGCAGCGCCATGTTCGTGAGGAGCGTTGTGACCACTCGGACACGATCGCAGCTATCGTATCTTGACTTGCCCGTGGAACATGCGTGTACCCTGCCACCGAAGGTGTATGACAGGGTGGTTTCCTTCCTAGACATTATGCGATATAACATTCGGACGACGCAGGTCTTTGACGGCATTTAGAGCGAGAGCCCGGGTGATATTGCATGCTGGAGGTCTGGTGAACGTGACCATATGATGCCATTGGCGTGCTCAGAAACGTATACCGGTATCTTAAGTGATGTTCTTCACGCGAATGTAGCGAGAGATTGCTCATATGCACAGCACGGCGACAGCAGGAGGGAACAGGAGAACTGGATATGAAGTGGTAAAGCGGCGGCACATTGAATATCTGCGAATCATGAACAATAAGTCTAGGCAGAATACCTTCACAAATATGTATGACGCACGTCTATACACGGTCCTTGAGCCATTGTGCCAACTCGGCGTTTCCCGCCTCCTCAGCGGCCGAAATCTGCTTCTGCCTCCTCTCCTTGATCTCTGCCCTCATCCCCTGCAGCATCTCTCCAGACTTGACGTCCCACTGGTATGCCCAGTAGCCCACAAAGCCGAAGGCGCCGGCGGCAATAGCATGTCCGAGAGGTTCTACAGACATTCGGGTCAGAAATTACGATTATATTGAGGGTATAACTGCGTACTGTCAAGTAATGGTCGGCGCTGGATGCCAAGCTGTCCAAAACGGGATGCGAGGCCCCATGCGGAGAAGCCGAGGACGGTGGACAGCAGGCCCATGGTGGTTCGTGTTGATGAGCAGGCCGTCCCGCGCACCTCCGACATTTCGCGCCGATTATTTAGGTTTGATTTTCGATAACTCCATGATAAGTGGACACGCGCGCCTCGCGTCCTCGACGCGTCTGTCCAGTGTTCGATGGCGTTCTATTCTTCTGTCCTCACTCCCATCGCGGGCTCGCCACACACCTAGCTACCAGCCACCCCCACTACACATCATGGACACTGAGCAGAAGTTACAAACTGCAAAGGAGAACAAGGCCAAGGCCGATGAAGCGTTCAAGGCAGGCGATGTCAAGAACGGTACGTGCCACCGCGATCTTTGATGTATACATATACTGAGTGACCATCCGTAGCATTGATGTCCTATCATATGGTATGTCTACTCTAGAAACTGCCAGCAGTGCATTCTGAACGGTCTTCAGGCCTTGATGTACCTGCAAGGGATCAACAAGTACGTGTGGCACCTGACACAGTTCACGCGCACGCTCTGAACCATCCTAGACAGGACGTATCTGGTGCCATGGCCGCTAACAATCCAGCTCCGGCAGAAGGTGGAGAGCCTGTGAAGCCGAAGACTGAGGTGAGATCTCGAATCTCCACCCGATGTGGCGCATGCTCATCCTCGAATAGGTAGACGAGCTTCTTGAGAAGATCTACGCCAATCAGGCGGCATGTCACATTAAGAACTCGAACTGGCAACGCGCATTAGAGACCTCAGATAAGGTGTGAACATGTGTCGACGGTATGGTCTAACCTGATCTGACTCCATGTGTCCTAGGCATTGTCGAAGAACGAGACGAACTACAAAGCTATGTTCCGCAAAGCCAAGGCTCTCGGTGAACTGGGCTACGTCGAGCGTGCGCAACGATTACTGGAAGACATCGCAAGCAAGAGCTCAACTGGTCAGAGTTTTCCGTTCTTGGATCCTCACCAGAAGCACTGAATTTCGCTCTCGTAGATGCGCCTGCTGCTCAAGCTGAGCTCGCACGCTTGCGCGCGCTAGACAAGCAGCGCGAAAAGAAGACAAACAACAGAATGAAGGGTATGCTAAACCACTCCTTGATCTCATGCAAGACTGAACGATCCCGCCAGGCTTCCTCGGTCGCGACAAGTCCGGCAAGGGCATCGGTCTCGAAACCGATAAGGACTACCACAAACCAGCTCCAGGCACTATCGCCAGCGGCGACGACTCTTAGACTCAACTTTATACCAGTATCTCCCGCTGTGCTTTCATCGCTGCTGTCACTGTTGTTGTATCATCTTGCTCATCTAGGTCTTCAAATGCACGTCTTTGTCTGATAATCAAGTTCATTTACTGGGTACTATCTCGAACCTTAGTTTACAATACCCCTACATCTTCCCAGAGCATACGTCGTTAACCAAGGAAACCAGCTTCTCCAAAGTCTTATCCACAACCGGCTCGTCTACAACACCTTCGACCCACGAGACCGCAACGGTCATAGGCCCTCCCCTGACCGAACTGACACTGAATGTCAGCGCTTCGCCCGTGATGCTCCCGCTCTGGGTGAACATCAGCTGCTTCATACTCCAGGATCCCTGTTCACCGCCTGAGCCGTCGACAGAGCCTGTATTGCTGACCTCGAATGAGCGGTCCCTGGGCTTGCCGACCTTCTTCTCGAAATTCTGTCGCATATCCCCCATGTAACGCAGCAAGCCGGTGTTGACATGCTTGCCCTGTTTGATGTACGCCACCGTACGCGCGAGCTGGCTTCCCAGGCGCTCGGCATCCTTCCACACGTCCGCATCCGCACCGCCGCGTACGAACTCGTGTTCGTCCGAAGCTACAAAGACGCCGATGGTGTGCTTCAGATCTGGCATGAACGCGCGCATGTTGATCGGACATGAGGCCGCAAGGCGTTTGGCATGGCCATCATCGGGCAGAGAGTCGAAGAGTGCGCGCGCGACGAGCGCTTCGAGAAGGGGTGTGAGTGTAACCTTGTGCGCGCGTGCCGCGGAAAGCAGTTTCGCGGCAGTCTCGGCAGGGAAGACGCGGATAGCGTGTCGCGTCTGAACAGTATCCTCCGGCCGGAAAACGGGTTTGCCAGTCCAAAGCCCGGCACGAGACGCGGGAAACCACGACCGCCATACCATCCCTAAGAGCGTGAAGAAAGATACGGGGAGAGCGTGAAGCGATTCGATTGACGGGAGAAGGGCAGCTTTGGGCGGCGTTACGATGGTCCCAAGGGGTTCGAAAGGTTGCCGAGCGGCAGCGGCATTGAATGCGGCCAACAGCGCCTGCATAAAGATAACCGCGCTGCCGCCGTCCGCGATGCCGTGGTGTATGAACAGCACGATATCGACCTCTCCCGGCGCACTTGCATCTTCGGCCTCTGGAGGCAAGAATACCACGAGTCGCCAAAGAGGTAAAGCCTCGAGATCGCCGAAGCGAGTAGAGAGTCGTGCCTCGATAAGTTGGTTTAATGCGCGCTGTCGTGTGACTTCGTCCCGAAGGGGCTCGACGTGGACGAGGCGCTCGAGATCGAAGGACGAGAGCCGCACAAAGCGTACGGATGGGGATGACTCGTCTTGCACACCAAGCGCAAGGGGTGGATGTTGCGCTATGACATCGTGTAGCGCATTATAGAGTAGGGATAGAGTAGGGATCGAAGGCGTGCTCGACGCGTTGCCAGTCCGAGATCCAGGAGAAGCGGCAGAAGAGATAGAGAACCTTGCAGCGCAACACACGGCCGTGTAGAATCCGAGGCTATGGCGGACGGTGGCAATCGATTCAAGAAGGCCTGCCGGGGACAAGGGATAAAATCATATGTTCAGTCTCGGACTCCACAGGACACTGACAGTACTAACCTGGTCCTCGAAGCACCTCCGTTTCCGGAGCATACGCGGCGGCCACATCGACTGAACTCATATTCGCGGATACACAGTGTCAGGACCGAGTACCGGTAGTCGGACTGCCTATCTGGGATCGAAACTGCACGGAGATAGAGATCGATAGTCAGGTTTCGGGACGTGCCGAAGGTGGAGTGGGCGTTACGCACGGATTCGGAACGGCGGTGCAAGAGCCCGTCGTACAACGTTCAACCCCGTTCTCAACTGGAGAGATACCAGGAAAAATATCCCCACGACTAGCTTTATACCCGCAGATGGTGTATGCAAAGTCAGGCCGCAGGCCTTGCGCAGGCGTGGCGAGGGAGTTCTGTCAAGCGCAGCGCTTTATGCCAGTAATCATGCGACACATTCTCCCTTAGCAGAGTTATTGGGAAGAATGACGACGCAAGGTACAACGTTCGATATGACTTGAGCGTCCCGGGACGTCCTCAGTGCACGGGAAGAGTAACGCAGAGATCAGCAATTACTCACCACGTATTGGTGACGAAGTGTCCCACGCCTTTTGATCTCCCGCGGTTAGCCGTCGCCTTTCAAAGAGCAACTTGAACTGCGACGTTGATCGCCCGTACTATGACGACTCCTTCTTATCAGTATCTTGCTACCTGAATGTGCGACCTTACCATTGATGTCTTGGTAGCAGTATGCTTGCCGCCACGAGAATAATCGTGTGGGATTATCTAAGAAGAATTGCCGACGACATCCTCGGCGTTTCCGTCGGCCAGCGAGACCGAATTAGACGGCCTACAGTCGACGGCCCGATTGTTGCCATATCGTAACCCTACTAGGTGAGAGTCGCGGTGCTAACTGTGCGCAGCGAAACTGCGCACAAGGCTTCTTCACTTCTTACACACAGCACAAGCGCTCGTTACCTTGTGTACACCTACCAACGTGACCATATTCTGGTAGGTGAAGTGCGCTGTACTTGCTTTCGAACTCCATCCTAGCTTCTGGCTTGACCCGCATGCGGCGAAGAATATCCGACCGGGAACTACATCCAGATCCCACGCCACCCGGATTGCTTCTCATACGTGCCCGAAACTAGGCCGAGTTGTACTCTGGCACTTCATCGCTGGCAGGGTATGTCACGAACAGTGACAACCTCGTCTCCTTCGTCAGATCATCTAGCTTCATCTGGATTCAGGTTTGAGAAGGAGACGGCGAGTTATAACATCCTGACAACTCGTGATCGCCATCACCGCTCGCTGTCTGCTTCAGGCTTCAGCCCGCTTACGAACATGGTTCAGAACTATGCTACCATGAGCTCGACTCTATGCGGCCTATCAGGCGGATGACACCCATGGCGTCAGCCTGGACCGGTCTTCTACCAGGATAACCTCCGATGCTCTCAGCGATCTCTGGAGAAGACGACCGCTATCAACGTCGTCCAGTCGCTGACGACGAATGAAGCTTCAAGCTTCAAGCACACTGCTTCGAGAACCGGTAAACCGAGATGCATAACGCCCCTTTCCTCATGCGCTTTCAATCATTCTTCGGATATCGGTCCCGAAGAACTGTTCATCCCTTTGCGCTTTCGACACGACCTCAACTCTGTACCCGGCTTCCCACTTCTCGGCTTCCACCGAGAGCATTTGCTTCATTCTACAACCTACATCGGGCGAGTCGGAGTACAAACAAGGATTCTAGGCAGGCCTCCTTGCCTCTCGACCACCTCGCGCCCTACGCAACTCCCGCGAAACGTTAGACCTTACTGGGCACCCACAAGGATGCCTCCCTCGATCTGGTTAGACTCGTCAGCTCATGACGTTTCAACGCTTTTGGGGCTCCGACGAGGCGCACCTTGAGACAAGCGCCAGACACGAAGCTACCCGCCCTGCTAGCAAGGTATACGACAGCGCCCACCATGTCCTCCTGGTTCCCCACGCGGCCGATCGGCACGAGTGCGCCGCGTTTTGAGATCATACTGTTTGGGTTGCTCGTGTTGTTCAGTTCGCTGGGAATATTGCCTATGGCAATCGAGTTGACCCGCACGCCAAGAGCGGTGAACTTGGACGCGAGGTTCTGCGTGAGTGACTCGGCTGCCGCTTTGCTGGCGCTATAGATGTGCGTTTGAGACCAGCGCGAGGTATACAGTGCTGCGATAGACGTGTTGTTGATGATGCAGCCGCGACCCTCGCGTTTGCCTCCGGCCATATTCGCCGCGCGAGCGAGGTGCGGCAAGAAAGCCGCGGACATGAACTATCCTTCATGGTTCAGTTTGAGGCACAGATGAACAGCGTTGTCAGTGCGTACCTGTAGAGAAGCAACATTGACAGAAAAGACTTGCGCCCAGTCCTTATCCTCGGCCTGTAGGAGTGCGGCGCTTATGGCCTCGGGTGAGGCATCCTTGTCCCAGGTCCCATCGTTCGAGAAGATACCAGCGTTATTCACCAACACGTCAAGACTAAGCGGCTCTTGTACGCCAGCAGCCCGCTCTGACTTCTCGAAGGCTTCTACGAGAGACAGGCATCCTGCCTTCGTCGATACATCGCCGGGAATAGGTATGATGGCGGGATGCAGTGCGGCTGTGCGCTTTAGCGCATCAGCTCGCCGACCTGTGATGTACACACGCTTTGCGCCCGCCAGCGCGAAACCATGGGCTACATAAGACCCGACACCGGATCCCGCACCGGTTACGAGCGCTATGCGGCCGTCGAGGGAGAACAGGGTTTGTACATCGATGGTACCAACTGAGGTGGTCATGGCGTACGAATTGACGTCGGTGTAGGCGGGTGTAGACGACGGCGGCCGGGAGCGACTCCGGTTCTTAGTGAGGCTTCATTCATGTACGCATGGGATGCATCTCGATATTATACTTGCGTTGCGTGGATCGCTTCTGAGCCTTGGAGGCGAAGACAGCGCCAATCGACTGCCCGGAATCTGCCGCAAGTGGATCTAGGGCGGCGTGCACGGGATAGCCGCTCAACCGCAGGGCCACACGACAGCCTACCGCTTACCAGAGGTAACCAGCCAGCCCTCAACACTGAGCCGTAGACAAGACGGATGTCCCGTCTGAAGGGAGAAGCATCTTCGTAGTTCGTACCCGTTATCGTGGCGAGTTGCAGGTAGTGATTGAGGGCGCATCCACTTCGGACATTGTAGTCGGCAAATGCCGCCGCACCCTTTGTTTCTGGACCTTACTGTGGCACTTACACTCTCACATCGAGTGTATGAAGAAGATTCAAAGTACTACTCAAACGAGGAAGTGCAAATGACTGTGTGTCTTAGAAAAGGCGAGATTGTGGGCCGCATACATTCTGTGCTCATGTTTTCATGACATATATGTTTTTGACCCCAACGGCATGAAAGATATTCCCCACTACAACCACCCTTAATCAGCCACAGCCTTCACTATAAGTCTATTCGGCAGACAGAGAATACTAAGGGCCTTCTAGAGGCAGGCACAAAACGCAAGTCACCACAGGAGTGAGGGTAATATTCTGATCACTCTGCAACTTCGTGCCCATCGCGAAGCACCTGCCAAGCTTCCACTCCACCAAAGATGAATGCATGGAATAACAGAGTGCGGGTCTCCACATCTTCTGTGCACCTTGAGCTTAGCTGAGCTTGAAATCCACGTCGCATTGCGATAGCGTGTCGTCTGATCAGACTCCCGCCTACACAGGCGCAGCATGCGCCACAAGAAACATCAGCCGAGCACACGTTTAAGGCAGCGCAGTCGCGGACACCCATCACCAGCTCAATGGGTCGAAGGACAACATTGTATCCGAGTCAAGGGCTGCGAGGGTCGAGGTCGGCCTAGCCAAGCACCTCACCTGTGCAGAGCGCTCAGCGGAGCGCGCGATCTGAGACTTCCCATCGTGGTTTCGAGGAACGGAGAGCGTCTAGTTACACGTCTGCTCGCGGCGTGCGGCTTTGCAAGCCAGCGAGAGCAATAAGCGGGCGTGGTACATGCGTAAGTAAGACGTGTACGTTGACGCGCGCGTAAGGGTGTGAATTCAGTCGGGAGTTCGTGTTGGGGGATCGTAAAAAGCGACATTTGCAAACGGTGGATGTGAGGGGGAAGCTACAACAGCGTTAGGGTACAGATGCGTGAGTACTGAAAGCAACGAGAACATGAGGGAAATGTAACAGGGGTCGAGATCGGGAAACCGGTAACGTATGCCGAAGAAGAAACGTGTGGATGCATGCAGACCAAATGATAGGAGAAATGAGACTCGAAAAACCATAATAATCCCAAAGGAGGCGCTACCTCGCCTCCGCGACCGCGGGTGCCGCCCGAGGCGGAGCCAGCGCTGGCCTCGCTGGTAGACACCGGCGGATGTCTATGTCCGTATTTGATGGCCGGAGGAGAAAGTCGGGACAGCGGACGCAAGAATATTCGTAGCCATCACCGGTGGATACGCGCTCATGCCGTACATCCTCCTCCAGCCAAGTAGACAGGGCGCTGAGGAGGCTAAGCAGCACATCGCGGTTCTCGAACTTGCTGATGAAGTTGAGTCCCCACAGCGGACCCCACTCCACGAGAATGTCGACTATCCACTTGGCACATGTCCACCGCCGTCGCTCCTCTGCCGGTAGATTCCACGGCATGGGCGCTGCTTGTCTGAAGATCTCCTCGATGTCGCCAATCGTGGTTGACTCGTCGCATGGGGGAAGTGCGAGGACGCCGAGGAAGCGATGCGAGGTGTGAAAGATGCGTTGCTGGACGGTGACGACCCAGCTGCAGTCGGAATGTGTCCTCCGCCTTCCTTTCGTGATCTCGTAGTGGCTGATGGGCCTAAGGCCGGGCAGCGGCACGCCGGCGATATGTGGTACGAGGGACCATTCGTACGTCTTGGGTTTGTGGGTTTTGTGCAAGATGATGTATAGTTGGACGGTCATCTGTGGCGTCTGGGGGAGGGAATCAGTTGGCTGGTTAGAGGGTATTGTTGGCAGTCATGTACACGCACGGGTAGGCCGTAGAAGGCAAAGGGTGCACCGTATGGGGGATGCGGTAGTGACAGAGAGCGTAGGGCTCTGTCGGCAGGGATGGATGCCGGAGAAGGACGAAAGACGCACGCTCACGTTTCGTCGGAGCGCAAAAGGGTCGTCAGGAGGGCGAGGAGGAGATGGTAGGTGGAAGAGAAGACAGAGAAGGCAGCGTCTGCGCGGTCATTCTGGAAGCGCTCCGTACGAATATGGCCAAGTTGAGGACGCAGGGTGGCCCACCAGACGGTCTGGACCTTCACAAGACCGACAACTGATTCCACCGACCGAACCCCTGATTTCTGCCAGAGCCCAGTCCAAACCTACCGTCTGTAGGGCGCTGTGCGCGCCTATACTCGCCTTGCCGGCGGCAACAAGGGCAGCTCTCAGCATTATCGTAGTCGCGGTCAACGTCGTCCAGCACAACATCCGCGCGTGTCGCGTCAGCCTGCCTCGAGTCGCGCGGCTCGGAATCATTTCACATGGCCGAACAAGTCTCGACCGATACCGTCATCGTCGGCCCTCTATGTCCAACTCGAGCTCTACGTGTTGATCGCCGCGCAACTTGCCTCTCACCGTCTCGACCGCCGTTCGAGTGCCGTGCGAGCGCTGCGACGCAGCCGCTTCTGAATCGTGCAATGCCGACTCAGTTCGACTCGAGAGCAATACCATACCGCATACATCCACCAGCGTGTTCCTGCCTTGCACTAGCCCCGGCTTTGGCTCGCTTTCGATGACGCATTGCGGGGTTGCAACTTTACCTTGAACAGCATATCTCGGCACTTGTTCTCTCGAAACGCTTACAAACTGACTCTAGCTGGGCTGAATTAGAGAAGACCGCTGTGGGTGCATGAGAGCATTGGCTGGCGCCGCGGGCTTCTTCGGCGTATCCCAAGCCTGCCCCTCCCTGATATCATGGAAAGCCTCTCTGCGCCATGCCGTATCGGAGTTCGAAACTTTGTACAGTTCAGCGCCCGGCGCGAGAATGCTTTGCAAGATCGCTGGATGCGTTCAGGTACCCTGCACACGCGAAAGACGCGGACGACGTCTGTATATAAAGACCCCCGCTGCGACGTACCTCGATGTATTGCCTCCAGAGATCATCCAGAAGGCGCATTTGGGCCTGTATAGTGGTGTTTCATTCCGGTGCGACTGTGCGCTTCAGGGGCGGGATCGACGGTGTGAAGTATACATAACAAGCAGGTGCTCGTTTATTCGCGCGTTCGCAGACTAAATCAGAAGCAAACAGGACCTATCACGCCGTGCACTGGGAAATCTATGGTAAGTAGGCACTTTTCACTATGCTGAACGTCCGTCGCTGACCCTGCAGTAGCTACCACGAGCTATATATGTACCATGCAGTCTTGCGCGCCGAGGTGCCACATCTACCGCACATTGCCGGCGGCCCGCGGCTTTGCCCGCGCCAGTCACAGCTCTCGCCGATAAGATCTTAGCGCCTTCAACTTGACTTGAATGGTACAGTACCGGCATCCGAGCCTCTCAAACAACCGCAGCCCTGCCAAGTCATATGATTCTCTCGCACTGTGAGGAGCGCAGGTTTGCCAAGTCCTTTGTATTGCTCCGTATGACCAGGCGTACGGCCCGCGAAGGGCGTCTCGGGAAGCTAGTGTGTGTAACAGTGGTAAATCTGTCTTCGCCGGATGCGGCCGAGATCTTATAGCTTCACGTTGGAGATGGGTGGTTCGGGGGCGATTCCTCGCTATGACGCGCTGCGAGGACATGAAAGCTTCGTTGCTCTTGCCGTGCAGGGCATTTTCTGATCGCACTACACCGGCTTGAAAGCGCCTGATGGGCTCACCAGGTCTCTGCGGCCTCTGCGAGGGTCGTCCTCAGGTAAGGTTTGCCAGGCGCCTCATAAGCCTCATGCATGCGGTGCGGTAGGCCCCTCAATCTCGCGCAACGGTAGCTGTCAGATCCTTAGAGCAGCCGAACAAGCATCTGGCGTCGCTTTTTCGCGCGTGATACTTTATGCATGCAAAGCTTCATAAGCAGCGCCATCTGGCAGCGAGATACATGCCATTGTCAAAGACTTCTACTTGATTTCCGAGATGGTCTACTCCTTCTCCAGCTGTGGAAGCTCCGAAGTACTGTTGTCTGTACCCTCTCCGATCGTCTTATCCGAGCTTTCAACGTCGAATGTCGGTTCTTCGCGCTGGTACGAAGTGTCGCGGACGGTGAATATGACCAGCCCGGCCAAGGGTAGCGAAACGAGGACAATGACCCAGCTCACGAGCTGCAGGGTATGGTGTAAGCAGGTGTGCGTAAGATTGCCTCGAGGACGTACGTGTTCAGTTAGGAAAGGAGTCGCAGTGGCATCCATCCCATATGCACCTGCAGACCCGCAGGATTGAATGGCGGTGTAAAAGCCAGCATACCTCGCTAGCGTGCGAGGGTCGTTTGTGATAGCGCCCATGATCCAGTACGTGAGAGCCTGATATGTCGCGTTGCAGAAGAAAAAGAAAAAGAAGAGCACGCCTTTCGCTCCATAGGTCCGGTCACGGTACGAAAGTTTTTGCACGGTGCTTTCGCGAGTGAAGGTTATCTGCCATGATAGGGCGCATGACCAGACAACGATCATGCAGATCGCGACGATAGAAAGCCCAAGATACCCTCGTGTTCGACGTTTGAAGCGTGTTGAGTCGAGAACGAAGATGCCTATGAGCAGTGCACCGATGATACCGCCGGCGCCTTCGAGCGTTGCATTGAGCGCCCGTGTCGGACCCGTGAAGTAGAACGTATTGATCGCGCCCTGGTAGGCATAGAAGAAGTTTGAGGCGAAGAACCTATTTCCAATCCACATTAGGCGTTGATCGCGATGATGGGATTCACTGATGGCACGGCGTACATTGGTATCAAGGCAAGAATACGCCAATCCTTCACAATATCCAATAGACCCATAATCTCCTCCATGGGACCGGAGACCTTCTGAACCTCGACGGTGGTACTACCGTCGCCGCGAGCGACAGCCGTGGGAGAAAGAAGCAGCAGCGTCAGGGCGGCACCGAAGAACATAATGATGATGAACGCAAGGTACGTTCCAGTCGATACCGCTGAGAGCTCGCCCGAGCGCACGGTGATAGCAAGAGAGATGACGGACCCAACGAGCGATCCCGACTGATAAAGAGCCCAAAAGAGAGCAAATGCTTTGCCTGATATGGTGCATGAGTTGTTGCGCCACACACGCATGTCGAAGCGTGAGTTCAGGAGACTGACCTTTATCTTTCTCGAGCGGGTACGACATCATGATTGCGCCTTGCGCCGACCATAGCAAAGCAGCTGATACGCCTTGAATAGCTCCGGCAAAGATGACGAACCATCGTGTTCCTTGGATCTGGAAGCACCAAAGAGATCCTATGTAGAGAATGTATCCCAGCGTGCCTAGTAGCATGGTGATACGTGGGCCCAGCACTACCTCTAAGAGTCAGCTTCATGTGTGGTCTCAAATAGTATTGAGCGTACGGTTCGTCACGCCGCCCGCAAAGAATCCCATCAATGCAAGACAACCGTACAGAACGCCGTTTGATATATCCGCCAGGGTGATATCTTGCGTCCCGCCCGCACCCAAGTTCGAGGCGGATAAGAATAAACCTACCTGTAAACGTCTGTCAGCTTCCGAGTAATCCAGCATTGCAGAGCGTCGAAGCGTAGACTGACGGTAGCGAAGAACACGAGTCCTGTGCATGTTGAGTTCAGTGAGTGCAACAACGAAATACGATACAACCGACCGACTACAGTCACCTGTGCAAGGGGCGTTTTGTACCGAGTCAATGCTTTGGCAATCATGGCAAAGAAGGGTGGTCGACAGGGAGGTGATGGTCTAGTAGCCAGAGGCGCTACGAAAAAAGGAGGCATCCTCTCAGCTTGGCTTTATACGAGAGGCCAGAGGTGTGTCGTCGTGCTACACATTCTGAAAGTGCGCAAATAGAAGGAGCCATGGGCGCTGTCGGTGACCCTAGCAGGTGAGGCTACCAACACACGGAGGCCGTAGAAGATCGCACGCAGCCCGCATCTCCAGACGTATGCACAGCGAGCATCGTTCACATGGTGATCTTGACAGTATCGCCATACGGCGAATACGGAAGTGAAAGCTCAATTCCTCAGAAGTCTGCTTCTCATAGTCAACGTGACGTGAGATGGCGAAGCCCAACCCGCGTATCATTTGCTCGGGGTAATCCAGGACCGGCGGCCTTGCCGCTCTCGTGTAGACCGTCCGCAAGGATCGGCAGGTCCCAACTACGCGTCAATGTCTAGCCTGATCCGCAATCTGAGTAAGGCGCGTGTTGTAGCTAGAACTTCCAAAGGGCATCCCGGAGTGGTGCGAAATCGACCATGATCGCACTCGGCAAAGCTGGAGTTTCGAGTAGAATAGAACAGTACTTGCGGAGACGATCAAGCTGTGCTCACTGAACAGCGCCAATCATCAACGAAGTTGCGAAGTAGTCGGAAATATATTCCCCAAGGAGAATCGAAGGCAGGGAGAAAGTATCGTAATCGATGGTGGATGTTCAGGACAAGCGGTCTGCGCAAGCCAAGCGCGCGCCGACGCTCGGCGCTAGCTGCGGCAATTTCCGAGCAGGCACAATACTGCAAGACAATCCATACGGACCACATGGGGCCAGCGAATGTACGCAGAGCCCGTGCATCTCGCTGTCTCAGCCGAGAAATACATTAAACGGGTACGGGCGACGGGCGTATGTCTGGCCATCCAAGCATATCATTGGAAGACATGTTCAATCGGCCAAAGTGATCAAACAATAAGTATGAAACGACTAGCGGTTCGCAATCCTGACCAACATATCGCACAATACAAATCGCCAGACAAGTTCATCAAGACCGACTCCATAAGGAGTAACAGTTACATTGCAACCGAGATGCATGCCCAACCTTTTTCACTATGATCTTCGAAGACCTCAAGCATCAACATCCATACGTTCTTCTGCCACGAAAGGAAACGGGAAGTACTTCCTTAGGAGCTTCTGAAAACCTTCACCTTCACGCCTAATCCTTCTATCCCAGGCCTCTTTGATGGTAGCCTTGCACTGATCGCCCGGACACTCCTTCCACCCGTAAGGACGCGCCTGCTTGCTCTGTCGAACCAAGTGCAACGCGCGCAGGACATCGTTTGACCAGTCCTTCTCCTCCTCCTCGAAGTCGAGATCAATCTCGCGCACTGCGTGGAACCAACGGTAACACTTGTCGATCCGCTGGGCGTCTGTCGCGGGCGATGCGGCAGGTACGTGATTGCATAGAGACGAATACTCTTGAGGTGGCGCCACTCTGAACTCTGCCCAACGCGTGGTGCAGTGATCTCGAAGAGAAATCAAGCCGGCCTCACGCTGTTCGAATATCGCACCCATCAAGACCTCGGCGAGCTTCGGTCTGTAGACTTGCAAGTTGGCCGTGCTCGCGGTGAGGATGTCGTACATCGCACGTCTAAAGATACTGCCGAGTAAGTGCGAGTTGCACCTGAGCGCAAGTCCCACAGCGCCGATCGCCTCGTCCAGAGGCATGCGCGTAGACCGTGCGACCTCCCTGGCGTCGGCCGGATATATCTTGTCCAACGTTCTGATGCTCGCCTTGAAAATGCCCTCGAATTCGAGTGCATGCGAAGCGCCGATGAGGCACAAGAGAGCTGGCCGACGGCAAGCCTTATAATCGAAAGGGGAAATGCTGTAACATCCGTCAATGAGCACGGGAGGAGGAATGTCGTCGAGAGACATACCTGCACTTGAGCACATCAAGGACAAGCGCAACCCCCTCCACATCCTCACAGTGCGCAGTGACGTCTACGAGACGTCTACCCTCGTATGAGGTAGTACTTGTCGCTGGGCTCAGAAGCTTTGCGAGCAGCGGCGACTCGACGAGCTGACTCTGCCGGATGTCAAATACCGTCTGACCGCATTGGATGACGACAATCTCGTCCTCGACTCGCCAATGGCGCTCGTGGCGGGTATATTGTTGGGTTACAGC